ACTTAATATATGTAGTCTAAGTATTTAAAATTCTTATCTTTTATTCAGGGAACTGTGCCACGTAGGTAGCAAATTGAAATCAGAAGTGTTTGCATTTTCTTTGAAAGCAATTGATGAAACTTGCATTGTTTGTGTGCGTCCGTTAAATTCTTAATATCTGACTGTGTAACAAAATTATCAACTTCTTAAAGTTATTACTTTATCTAACTTAACACTTATTTAATCGAGTAGCCTACATTAATAATTATGCTTATAGCGTTATTTTTAAGCAGGATGCCAATTTATAAATAACACGCCACCCTACTTAAATATAATTTGAAAAAAAACAATTTACAAAAATTTTTGATGCGTGGATAGATGTCTGATACTCTACTCTTAAATTATAGACCTTCAAATTGATATAAGAGTAAGTGTAGTTTAATACCGTGTTATTAACGTCTTTAAACAAGTGAATTTGCAACACAGAAAAAAAAATTAATTTAAGTATCAGACCACGCGAACAACGGAAAGGAAGACTGCTTCATAATGAGGAGCGCCAATTTTTAAAACAATGCAATATTCATAATGTAATAGTGTAAGCCTGTAATGAGATTATCCTTAAATATACGGATTGACTTCCCCCGAGAGGGCCAGTGCCCCCCCCCCCCCCCAACCGGGAAAGAGACCCAGTAAATATTTTAATTTTAAATGACTGTGATTTATTTGAACCCATTTTTATATTGATGTTTTTGTGATCATAACCATGATAGACGTGTTGCCACATAAAACCTGGCATTACTTTGTTCACCAATCACAAACAATGAGGGATTCATACACTTTAAACGAATTGATTGTTGAACATTTCGTGACAATCGGATAACGTTATTTTCAATTGGCTAAACGACCATACACAATGTGGGACTTGCACTGTCTAATGAACTTTATGTCGACATATTATTATGTCATACACTATGTGGGACTTGCACTGTCTAATGAACTTTATGTCGACATATTATTATGTCATACACAATGTGGGACTTGCACTGTCTAATGAACTTTATGTCGACATATTATGTCATACAGAATGTGGGACTTGCACTGTCTAATGAACTTTGTGTCGACATTTTATTATGTCATACAAAATGTGGGACTTGCACTGTCTAATGAACTTTATGTCGACATTTTATTATGTCATACATAATGTGAGACTCGCACTGTCTAATGAACTTTATGTCGACATATTATGTCATACAGAATGTGGGACTTGCACTGTCAATGAACTTTATGTCGACATATTATTATGTAATACAGAATGTGGATTTGCACTGTCTGATGAACTTTATGTCGACATATTATGTCATACACTATGTGTGAATTGCACTGTCTAATGAACTTTATGTCGACATATTATTATGTCATACATAATGTGTGTCTTGCACTGTCTAATGAATTTATGTCGACATATTATTATGTCATACACTATGTGGGAATTGCACTGTCTAATGAACTTTATGTCGACATATTATTATGTCATACACTATTTGGGACTTGCACTGTCTAATGAACTTGATGTCGACATATTATTATGTCATACACTACGTGATACTTGCACAGTCTAATGCACGTGTGTCGACATATTATTTCATTTTGGTGTTGCTGTTTTGTTTCAAAGATGATTTTTAGAGTGCCTAGTTTGTTTGTTTTTTTTTAAATAAGGAAAGTTGATAGTTGATACCACATAGCCCGGCCAACATTCTACAGTCCTCATTTCCTCTACTCACTGCAACCTCATTTTCATTGGTACAGTGGTAAACCATCTACTACAGTGTTGTAGGAATGCCAATCTGAATTACAAACTGGGGTTTTTAGTAATACCAATGCAGTGTTTACCAAACTTTTGACACGTGTGTACCCCTGACTATAATTTTCTTAATACTAAGTAACCCTCTTCAAAAAAAAAGAAAGTATAACAATAACAATAAAATAATATATATATATTTTCCTTTGTACCAAACATTTCTCGTACCCATTTCTCGTGGGGGTGTGCATACCATACTTTGGGAAACACTGCTGCACTAATGCAACGAGTCGTGTCTTGAGCTCAGCAGAATAAAGAAATCTTTTCAGTTTTATTCTTATCTAACAATCATTATATTTAGAAACATTCCATACATCATGGTGGGATTTTCTTCTGTCGAGGAAGGCATTCAAAAAAAAAACAAAAACAAAAAAAAAGGTCTAGATTTATAAGAAAATGTTGATTATTTTACTGCTCTCGTTAAACAAAGATCTTCCTGGTTGATTACACGATGGCCGATCCCAGAGCTATTCATCGGCCATGGAATAGGGTTGTGGCTTTATCACGGGTTCCTTTCAGTGTGCAAGTTTTTGCAAGAAATTTCGAAAAAAAATTTTTTTCTTATTACAAAGAACTAAAATAGTCGTGGCTGATTTCGGAGAAGGGAGGATTGTAATGTTCAAGATTGCCTAAGAAAGCAAGCTGTAACCAGTTGTAACTTGTTGTAACCAGTTGTCAGAACATGGCTGAAACTGAAAGCGGCCTTGGCTGCGACTTACAGAGTAAGCATTATTTTCAAGAAAATGCAAATTGATCAAATGAGTAACGCTATCAGATTGGAATCTCCTGATTGCGGTCGGTTTTTTTGTATCTCTTCCTCAACAGCGCCAAAGTCTCTGTGTTACATTTCTGTTGTGAGGAAGACATGAAACATACCCAAATTTATGTCTGAAAATGAATAATAAGTGGCTTGAAGGCTTAGATCATTGCATAGAATGTTCCTGTTCGTTCCCACTTGCTATTCAGTTTTGTCTCTCATTAAGCCGACGTTACTCCAACCCCTCCACCCCCCCCCCCCAATCCCACCCGTTCAATTTTAAATGAAGACATTCGAATATATTTAATTCCAATAAGTTTTTTTAAAAATAAATTTATGCAGCGAAAATAGTTATAATATTTTTTTTTTAAGTACACAATAAANAAAATGAATCATAAGTGGCTTGAAGGCTTAGATCATTGCATAGAATGTTCCTGTTCGTTCCCACTTGCTATTCAGTTTTGTCTCGCATTAAGCCGACGTTACTCCAACCCCTCCACCCCCCCCCCCAATCCCACCCGTTCAATTTTAAATGAAGACATTCGAATATATTTAATTCCAATAAGTTTTTTTAAAAATAAATTTATGCAGCGAAAATAGTTATAATATTTTTTTTTTAAGTACACAATAAATTCCATAAATAAATTAATAAAAATCATCGTTATGGATTAAAAGGATTACTTTGGAAAAAAATAAAATCAAAATTTACAGAAATAAAGTTGACATTTTTGATACAATCACATTAACATTGGAGGCTTTTTTATATAACAGGGCCATTTGGGGTTAGATAACTTATTTCTATGATGTTTTAAAATGTTCTTTCGCGTGAAGAATCCTTCTTTGCAATGATAGGTGGTTGAAAAAAGACAGCACATATTTCATTGCGTCACTGAGCAACTTTGGAAGCTCTTGCATCTTTTGACGTTTTGAGTATAAGCATTGGCATTACGCCTGGTATAAGCATTGGCATTACGCCTGGTATAAGCATTGGCATTACTAGGAGGTGAAGGGTGCGAACAACGCCTGGTATAAGCATTGGCATTACTAGGAGGTGAAGGGTGCGACCAACGCCTGGTATAAGCATTGGCATTACTAGGAGGTGAAGGGTGCGAACAACGCCTGGTATAAGCATTGGCATTACTAGGAGGTGAAGGGTGCGAACAACGCCTGGTATAAGCATTGGCATTACTAGGAGGTGAAGGGTGCGAACAACGCCTGGTATAAGCATTGGCATTACTAGGAGGTGAAGGGTGCGACCAACGCCTGGTATAAGCATTGGCATTACTAGGAGGTGAAGGGTGCGAACAACGCCTGGTATAAGCATTGGCATTACTAGGAGGTGAAGGGTGCGAACAACGCCTGGTATAATCTCAAAGGGGGTGGGGGATGACATCAAATGGAAATAGTACATTTTAAATCTAAGTTAAATGCAAGATCAGGGTGAAATCAGAGAATGCCCTAAGTATAGGGTGCCACAGGGATGGGGTGTCATCAGAACAATGTGCCACCAGAGTAGTGTACCACCAGAGTAGTGTACCACCAGAGTAGTGTACCACCAGAGTAGGCTACCACCAGAGTAGGCTACCACCAGAGTATGATACCAGCAGAGTGGGGTACCATTAGAGTAGAGTACTACCAGAATGTACCACCAGAGTAGTTTACCACCACAGCAGAAGCCATCACAGTAGGGTTTCACGGGAAAACTCGAAGGATGTCCATAAGTTCTCCATCACCCAGGCCAGATACAGTGTTGCCCGAAAATAATATTTCATATTTGATTCTGCTAAAAAAAATTTTTTATGCTGTACGCATTTTAGTATCTTTTTTAGTAATAGAGATACGTGGCGGTGCCTCTTGTTCCCAAAAGCCATTGGAATAAAAATGAATTTCACAGAAGGAAACAAGACAATTTCTCTTTTAAAGATTTAAATATTTTGAAACCTAAAGAGCTCAGTGTTTCAAACAATCAATTGTACGTTTATATGGAGAATTGGATTTCCTTATCAAAGAGGAAATTGGTTTTGCCAAACAAAGAGTCAGCTCAATGATTAAATACAGGAGGGATAAGTGTTTTGATAGAGGAAGAAAGGATCTGTAGTTATAGTTCAAATAAGAGATTTTTGTGGATAACTTGAAATGAAAATAAACGAAAATTAAAGTTTCAATATGTTTATTTTTTGCCATGCCAGGAAGTTCATCAAATCTATCTCAATCATTTATACAATATATATTGTTCTTTTTCTCTCTCTCTCTCTCTCTCTCTCTCTCTCTCTCTCTCTCTCTCTCTCTCTCTCTCTCTCTCTCTCTCTCTTTCTCTCTCTCTCTCTCTCTCTCTCTTTCTCTCTTTCTTCTTCTTTTCTTTCTCTCTCTCTCTCTCTCTCTCTCTCTCTCTCTCTCCCTCTCTCTATCTCGTTCCCATTTTCTCTTCATCTATAATACATTCTTTTTTTCTCATTTTTCTCTCTCTCATTATATACTCTTTCCTTTCTCCACTTCTCTCTCTCTCTCTCTCTCTCTCTCTCTCTCTCTCTCTCTCTCTCTCTCTCTCTATCTCTCTTTCCTTCTATCACTCTCTTTCTCTCCATCTCACACGCTCTCTCCATCAAGTCATCAGACACATTGGACCAGCTGCTAGCAAACTCACATCGCATATGTTATTATAATAAAAGCTTGGACTAGACTTAACATAATTATTTTTTCAGTTAGTTACCACTTTAAGACATTTTTTGGTGTAGCGATTAATGCCAACAAGACCTTCAATGCACCATAAAATCATCATTTTAAAGTAATTACAGTAATTATTATTATATATAAAAACGGCTAGGGAAATGCAGTTAACATATTGCAAGCAAAACTGAAGCGAGCGTAAATAATTGGCCAATGTGTGTCTAGAAAAATGTAAACTATATTACATTCCTGAAACCAATACTCCTCTGCACACAAAACAAATAGGAATATCTTATTTGGAAAGTGTAATTATGTTACTTCATCCTGAACTTTATTTAAGTTTTCCATATCAACATATGTGTTGTTACATCTAAGACATTAGACGTTTAATCATATACTTTTTCTACAGATAAGAATCTATTTTTTGTTCCCTAAGAACTTAATATTTATGTACAAAAACATTATATGATTGATGTTAAAGATTATGTCAGAGAATTTCTTAAGTCAATTCACAGAAGCACCATAGACAAATACATGTTTTATAAAAATGAAAAAAAAAATGCAAGAGACAATAATTAAAGCGTAAAAAACTTGGATTATATTGAAAAGACAGCTTGGTCTACAGCAGGTCATTGACAGCTTGGTCTACAGCAGGTCATTGACAGCTTGGTCTACCGCAGGTCATTGACAGCTTGGTCTACAGCAGGTCATTGGCGGCTTGGTCTACAGCAGGTCATTGACAGCTTGGTCTACCCCAGGTCATTGACAGTTTGGTCTACAGCAGGTCATTGACAGCTTGGTCTACCCAAGGTTATTTACAGCTTGGTGATGGTGGCCTCATCAAACAAAGGGTTCACGCTAAAAGCTGGGGTCGTGTCCACCGACACCAAACTGCTCTGTCTCCCACTCGTGGTCTTGTTCACAGACCGTGGCCCCAAGATTCGCATGGGTTCGTACGCGTCACTTCCGTTGGACGAGCTTCGATCCGAAACTGTCTCCCCTTCGGAGTCCAGACCACGGCCGGCTGTGGCGTCTTGGACTTGAGACTGCGACGTTGCGGTTGACCTTCTGCTGCTGCGCTTGTGCGAGGGGTTCATGCTCTCGTACACCTTGTTCATGCGGGCTGAGACGGTGCGGTTCTGATAGGGCAGCGAGGAGACGCTGCTGCTGAGGTTGATCAGCTGGGCGTCATCCTCCACGGTGGACTCGGCGAAACTGACGTCGAAAGATGTGTTGTTGCTGTTGGAGTTGGAGGGAAGAGCGGGGCCAACGTACTCCTCGCGGTTGACCACCGTGTCGTCATAAATGGGCGGGGTCTCCACCGGCTCGTTCTTATCATCCTGGGAATGTGGAAATCGTAAATTGTGTTTAAATTATTTAAATTTGAAACTAGGACGTATGAAAATATGGAGAGAAAAATATTCACCATTTCTTCTAACATAGAAATGTTCTTTAAGTCCCTACTCTTTATTATAGAACACTCACCACGAAAGCTGTGTTCAGATGGCAGCCATTTCCTACAGATGTCCTGGCAGCAATCGTAGGAGGTATGCTCCCATCGTGCATCATCTTGACCTTGGCGAACATGGCCTCCACCTGTGACCTTGGGACCACGCCGATTCGAAAGAAGGCCAGCTTCCCCTCACGGCTCAAGGCGCGGCAGTCAACAACGGTGGACGCCATGTTTTCTGGGGACGGGCCCGAACAGAGGATCCCGTCAACCTGGGCGAATCATAGAAGCACGTCAGTGGGTACAAATAGGTCATAGATCAACACAACAAATTTAAAGTACAAGGTAATTAGGGTTGGGGGGGTGGGGGGGTAGAAGAGGTCATATGTCATGCTGACCTTCCATTTATGTGTTTGAAGATTACGGAGTTCGACCATACAACTTATTGGAATCAATTTTTACAAAATGAAACCTGTTTACATCAGATGAATAAATCCTTACTGTAGAATGTTTTTGGATAGTGGTGTATTTTTAATTTTAAAGACGACAACAGAAAAAAAAACAAAAAAAGCAAAAAAAATTGAAATCCACTTATATATGAAATTAAATTTTCTTGTCCTAACTCTTCCTTTTTTTTTACCTTTGCATCTGAATGACCCACATAATTTCAACAATTCTATGGCAATACTGGAAAGTTCGTTTGAAAAGGGAATTATTTGAAAATAAGTTTTGTGGAAGAGTCATAAAAATGTTCTGTTGGTGAGGAAGTCATTAAAAAAAATTCTGTTAGTGAGGGAGTCATTAGAAAAATCGTTTTAAGGTGGGAGAGTCATTAGAGAGTTCAAATGAGGGTGTCATTAGCGTCATAAGCAGTGCTCACATTTTCCAAGCCAAGCTTAGCGAGGACCTGGAGGTGATGGGTCGTATCGGCCTCCCCCGTTGGGTTTGCAGACGACACGGCCACTGGTCCCGTCTGGTCGATCAGATGTGACGTCACTGTGTTGTCCGGCATACGGCAAGCGATGCTGTCCGGACGACCAATGTACTTCTCAGATGCTCCTATTCCAAGCCCATTGAGCCAATCACCTTCAGGTAACGGAAACACATTCATTTCATCTCATTGATACATTAGCGTTAAGCTTTATTGGACTATCTCACAGCGATGTGATTATTGGACAAGGCCACAGGAATGTGTTTATTGGACTATCTGACAGGAATGTTTTTATTGGACTAAGCCACAGGAATGTGTTTATTGGACTATCTCACAGGGATGTGTTTATTGGACTATCTCACAGCGATGTGATTATTGGACAAGGCCACAGGAATGTGTTTATTGGACTATCTCACAGCAATGTGTTTATTGGACTAGCTCACAGGATTGTGTTTATTGAACGTTTCTCACAGGGATGTGATTATTGGACAATGCCACAGGAATGTGTTTATTGGACTATGCCATAAGAATGGCTTTGTTGGACTATTTCACAGTGATGTGTTTATTGGACTATTTCACGTGATGTGTTTATTGGACTATCTCACAGGGATGTGTTTATTGGAATATCTCAAACGAATGTGTTTATTGGACTATCTCACAGGGATGTGTTTATCGGACTATGCCACAGGAATGTTTTTATTGGACTAAGCTACAGGAATGTGTTTATTGGACTATCTCACAGGGATGTGTTTATTGGACTATCTCACAGGAATGTGTTTATTGGACTATCTCACAGGGATGTGTTTATTGGACTATCTCACAGGAATGTGTTTATTGGACTATCTCACAGGGATGTGTTTATTGGAATATCTCATAGGAATGTGTTTATTGGACTATTTCACAAGGATGTGTTTATGTCAGAACACCTCACCTCGGATACTTAATGTACCGGTACAAACGTTCATGTTTTTTTTCTTCTTAATTAGAATTCCAGTACAAAAAATCTAATATTACTAATAATCTTAGTTTATGTAATTTAATCCATTGGTAATGGCATATTTATTTTTCAACAAGCGATTATCAATTTTAATTTTTTTAATAATTGACTATTGATATTGATTATTTATTGGATTTATCAGGTTCTAAATAGGATGAAAAGTAGATCAAAGCCTGGACTGACCTTTAGGGACGACCAGGCTGACGGTTGATGGCCAGATCTCGTTCATCAAGCCCCAGACCAGTTCTCCGAATAGCGCCCTGCCTTCCTCCAACTGCTCGACTTTAGAAATCCACATGGACATGGGCCGGTCCTCTGCCAGCAGCTTGGTGTTGTAGGCACGCTGTCAGAAGAGACCAGACATTGGATCACTGATGATAGAGCTTTCAAAATAAACCAGACATTGGATCACTGATAATAAAGCTGTCAGAGTAAACCAGACATTGGAACACTGACGATAAAGCTGTCAGAATAAACCAGACACTGGATCACTGATCATAAATCTGTCAGAATAAACCAGACTTGAATCAGTGATAGTAAAGCTGTCAGGATAAACCAGACATTGGATCAGTGATAGTAAAGCTGTCAGGATAAACCAGACATTGGATCAGTGATAATAAAGCTGTCAGAATAAACCAGACATTGGATCAGTGATAATAAAGCTATCAGAATAAACGAGACATTGAATCACCGACAATAAAGCTGTCAGAATAGACCAGACATTGGATCAATGATAATCAAGCGATCAGAATAAACCAGACATTGGATCATTGATTATAAGGATATCAGAAAAAACGAGACATTGGATCACTGATAATAAAGCTGTCAGAATAAGCGAGACATTTTATCACTGATAAGTAAAATAATTCCCTCTCATAATTTTTTTGTTGTTTTTCTTTATCGTTATGATCTATAAAACTAAACAGATAGAATGTTAAATCGACTAGTGTTCTGACATGCTCATTTCGAACATAACTGTTAATATAAAAGTAATGTTTCTGAATCATTCTCGTTAGTCTGATAAAGAATAAATATTTACAATGCGCTTTACGTACACGTCAAGATCAACTAGATTTATTTAAACGCAAAGTTCGTGGCATACAATTTGAAACTAGCTCTTCAGTTCTTCTCATTGATCCTCCACAAACTATGTTGTTATCATGTAAACTGATAACCATGTCACCCTACCTCAACCGCATCTGGAAACTTGCAGGCCGCCACCAGAGTGTAGACGGTGTCTGTAGGGATACCACAGATTCCTCCCTTGTTCATGATTTCTGAAATGTATAAGATCAGTAGGATTGAAACGATATTGTAAGACGTGTGCCGAAAAGTCATCAAGATACCAAAGTAACAAATAATATGGAGCAATGACTAAGTCGTCATAACATTGTTATTTCCATAGATATAAACTATTTAACTCAAGTCCAAAACAGCTTTGTTAATAAATGAACTCTTGAATTGACCTACCAGCAATGGCCTTGACACCGCTCGCACGCCTCCCATCTGCCCAGAAGGCCTGCTCGCCTTGTGAGTGTAGGTAGCTGACCTGTAGGAAGGGTTTGCCCAGGGGGAGCAGCTCTTTCCCCCACACGGACCTCAGGGCCGTGGCGATGAAACAGTACATGCAGATGACGACGAAGATGACGGTGATGACAATCTCGTAGATGAAAGACCCGTTCGCGTTGACGCCGTGGAGCAGCATCCCGACGACCACAAGATTAAACATGAAGGTCAAGGCCGTCCAAGCCTTGTTGATTATAGTCGAGAGTCCGAGTAAGAGCAGACCCACGGCCAGGAATCCGACGCAACCCGTGATGACCGCGGCCGAATGGTCCAGGGCTAGGGTGCCCAGGCCCCGAGCAGGCCCCCAAATCAGCCACAGAGAGCCGAAGGTGAAGAAAGCGCAGCTTTCGAAAGACAATCCCTTGGAGAAACAGACAGACCCCACGATCATCTGAGCGATGCCCCCCAGTATAACAGCCCACGGCAGGACCCACAGACCGGTCGGTGACCAGAGCACAGCCACGGCGGCAATCGCATTGAGGGCGAAGCCCGCGACGTCAAACCCGCCGTATCTGGAGTAGCCGAGGCTGAAGTCCGCGGAGAACAGAGACCTGGCTCCGTTGGACGACGAGCCGATCGTCTTGACGTGCGACATGCAGCACTTGCAGTGGGACAAGAAAAAGTTGGCCAGTTTTTCAGGGTCAATCAAACGTGTCCCGAGCGGGAGCTTAAACCCGGAGTTCTTAACCCGAGAAATGTGAGCCGCGAGCCCGTAGAGGGAAAAGACGAACAGGATCCAACCCATGGCGCCTAAAAACGCGCCAAAATTGTTATCGTCGACCAGAATGGCTACGCATAGAACGCAGAGCGCGAGATTCTGGGGTAGCTGGTAGATTTCTCTTGTCAGTGAGATTAGTGCGATTATCGCAAATATAATAAAGTGGATAACTGTAGCAGCCACGAGCGTGAGTGGGACATTCTGACCTGTGACGAACACCACGGCCAGATTGAAGCCGTTTGTGATCCAGAAGGTGGCGTGAAAGATAAAATACAGACCGTGGTAGATCTCGTTCCTCCGAACAGCCACCACGGCTGCCACCAGCTGATAAACACCGGCCACTACGACCCATGAAAACTCCATGGACACGTGACCAAATATACCGGTCACCGAGCCCGCGTACACGCCGGCGGCCAGTGTGTTCATCACGTGGGCCATGGGGATGTAATCTTTAGACGGCTTGGCCTCTTCCCCTTTGGAGACCCTTGAGATGGCCTCCCCCTCCCTCAGGCGATGCCAGAGCTTAGAGACGGTCATGTAGAACGTAATGGCGGCCAGCAAAAGATAGTAGGCAGCGGCGCTCCTGCGGATGGGTCGCCACAAGGCGGCTATTTCAAAAGTGCAAGAGAGTAGCATCCCAAGGGCGAGTATAGCACTGAATCGGTCCTTGTGGTGCAGGGCGCCGAATACGAAGAAAAGGAACGCGAGAAGGAACGTGCCGTAGCCCGCCCAGAGCGCCTCGGAGTCTGTGACGCCATTCGGTGTGTAGAACTGTACCACGTGGTAGAGACCTATAGACGTCCAGAGAGCACTGATGGTCATAAGGAGTGACCTCAGGAGACTGGATTCTGGATCTTGGGCCGTCACGCCTGGAATAGAGAGTGACAATAACATCAGCTCTTTGGCTATAACTTTGACGCTATTACAGTATCTCTAGAATCTATAACTTTAGCATCAACTCTATGACTACAACTGTATAAGTTAAGAGTAATTTTATAAAAAATGACATCAGCTCTATAGCTTTAACTTTATAAGAGCAACTCTAGAATATATAACTACAACATCAGCTCTATAACTCTATGAGAGAAACTTTAAAAATATAACATCAGCTCTATAGCTTTAACTTTATAAGAGTAACTCTAGAATCTGTAATTACAACATCAGCTCTATAACTATAACTCTATGAGAGTCAATTTATAAATATAACATCAGCTCTATAGTTTTAACTTTACAAGAGTAGCTCAATAATCTATAACTACAACATCAGCTCTATAACTCTAACTCCATGAGAGTAACTTTAGAAATATAACATCAGCTCTCTAGCTATAACCCTATAAGAGTATATCAAGAGCTTTAAAATCAGTTCTATAGCTCTATACAACATTCTATGCAGTATCACTTATGTTTTATAACATTGAGTATATTTTGAAATATTTTTGGACAGTAGGCCAAGTTTAGAGACTGGTACATTTTAAATTGAGACGCTGTTACAGTAGTTGTAACAACTAAGGTAAACTTAAGTTTATACATAGTTACATAGTTTTCTGTTGTAGATTTTTCTCCCGAAGTTGTATAGATGTTTACGGTTGCATAAATCAAAACACTTTCATGGAACTTATTCAAGCGGATTTCAAGTCTTTCGAAGTTATCCTTGAAGATGTTTTTGGAATGGCATAAATAATGAAGTGACCAGTGAAGATCTTACCCAGCAAGAGAGACACCAACGAAAGCACCAAGAGCGATATGCCCAGGCCAAAGTTGATGGGTAGAGTGTTGTCCACGATGCTGAAGTTAAAGATGGCTACCACCACGAATATGATAAAGTGTGTATACAGCGTTGCAATGACAGCCGTGGATGGCCGAATGATCGCCATCTTGAAGCTGTTTTAGGCTTTAAGATAGAGAAGCGAAAAAAAAGCACACTTATAATATGTACTGAATAGATTTAGTTGTTCCATTTCATCGAATCATGTTCGCAAACGATATGAAAAAAAATTATATGTTTTTAAAAAAATAATTTTCTGGTTCATTGAACTTGAAATGCGAAGAAACTATTTTCGACTACGGCTGTTGTTGAGCTCAATCTGTTTTTTTAGTCTCTTAATAAAAGGTTAGAAAAATATTATAAATAGGCCTTTAATACATTTTACCAATAATTTATAAATAGTAATTTCAGTAACAAGATACTAAATTATTTTGAAAAAAAAGATTTGTATTACATATAAAGAAACAGAAAAGGAAAAGAAAACGTTTTGCAGGTATTCACTTACCTTGATATGTTCTATCTGTCAAGGACTCAAAAGGTGAATCCTTCTGCCCACCACACTCCGCTCAACTGAAGAGAGATGACGCTTGCCCGTCAAATGGTGTTGGACATCGCACCGATACAACCTTTCAACCCTGGTCAGTGAGTGACCGGAAGGTCTCAAGTTTTGTGTAGTTCACAAATTGACTCAGAAGTCTTGTAAGATCCTAAAGCATGAAATGGTTAACGCGCTGATATTTGTATGTAAGCTATATTCTTAAACACACCTCGTCTTTTCAAAACATCCCATTGGACAATGCACAGGGGGGAAATAAACGGTTAGATTTTCACCTGCGTTCTGAAACCAAAGTTCGATTCTTTACCTCTCGCGCGTGTGTGTGCCCCCTCCAATCTACGCTCGGCTTAGGACACCACGAGCCTTATAATAGACACTATTTGGACTTCCAGGTCAACTTCTAAATTTAGACGGACTTCGCAGTTCAATGCGGGGTTTCCTACTTCGGGAGAAAAATGTCATTGGTTATTTGATAATGGATGACGTAGGTGGAGAAGCGTCAGAGCGTAAAAAAACTTTATACTAGGAACAGGGCAGCCAGGTAATTAAAAAAATTTCCACAATTTCTGAGATTATTATCTAATCCAAACAAAACAAGCTGCTTCCTGTAAGGGGATTTGGAAAGGGTGGACATGGATTTACATAAGGCTTGAGAAATCCTAAAAGAAAAAAGTACTATTAAATGTTTCAGTAATGCTACAGGAACCAATACATGTAATTTCATATGTATTTTTTTTAATACAGGCATGTTCAAATGTTTCATTCTACATCAAGCTTGTTGGGGGGGGGGGGGGTTCTGCTACACTCACTTACTGTACTTTATTTAGCTTTCCAATGGGTGTGGCATACACTAAACCCAGGAGTGTAGCATACACTGAACCCAGGAGTGTGGTATACACTGAGCCCAGGACTGTGGCATACACTGAGCCCAGGACTGTGGCATACACTGAACCCAGAAGTGTGGCATACCCTGAATCCAGGAGTGTAGCATACACTGAACCCAAGAGTGTGGCATACACTGAACCCAGGAGTGTGATATACACTGAGCCCAGGAGTGTGGCATACACTGAACCCAGGAGTGTAGCATACACTAAGCTCAGGAGAGTGGCATACACTGAGCCCAGGACTGTGGCATACACTGAACCCAGGAGAGTGGCATACACTGAACCCAGGACTGTGGCATACACTGAACCAAGGAGAGTGGCATACACTGAACCCAGGACTGTGGCATACACTGCACCCACGTGTGTAAGACATACTGAACCCAAGGGTATTCTACTTACTGCACCCACGGGTGTGCCACACACTGCACCCGCGAGTGTGTCACACACAGCACCCACGGGTGTGCAACACACAGCACCCACGGGTGTGCCACACACTTCACCGATGGTTAACCATACAATCTTACAGTGGTCACAAAAATATTATATTTGTTTGAAATATAAATTTCGATTTATTTTGTAATTTTTTTTTTTTTTGAATATATTTTATATTTTCGCTCTCGCTAGTTTACATGCTCAGAATTATAAACTTTATTTAATGATTCACCAAGTCTACATAGTCTGGGTGACCAAAATAGTGACGATTGGTCCTTCCGTGTTCGATTTTGAAGAAAATGCCTTTACAATCTTACAGTGGTCACAAAAATATTATATTTGTTTGAAATATAAATTTCGATTTATTTTGTAATTTTTTTTTTTTTGAATATATTTTATATTTTCGCTCTCGCTAGTTTACATGCTCAGAATTATACACTTTATTTAAGGATTCACCAAGTCTACATAGTCTGGGTGACCAAAATAGTGACGATTGGGCCTTCCGTGGTCGATTTTGAAGAAAATGCCTTTACCAGAAACCCAGGGTGGCTTAGCTCATTTTCAAAGAAAACTATGACTGAACTATCAATGGCCTTAGAAGAAATATTTGAAAAGTTTTTTAAGGAAGTTTTAAACTTAAGAAATTCATTTAAATTTATATAAATGTCTCTCTATATATAGATTATATAGATTATATATATATATTATATATATATATATTAAACTTAAGTTTAAAAGACATGGCAATGTATTCAATATAGAGTTCATTTTATAAGACGACAACCAACTGTATGGTCATTTCATGTAGTATCAGTTTAATGTTTTAATGAATGGACTCAACATAATGTTTAGCCCATGTGTTTCGAGGCTCAATTTTTCTCAGTCCGTGGGTCAACACATTGCCCGTCTCCTGGTGGTCATGACCATCTCATAATCCACGGAACTGGTTAAATGGCCAGCTAACGGTCAGATGTTTAACACATATTCTTTGGCTTGTATAATATTAACTCTTACATACAGGATTGGAAAGCCCTCTACATAAAAGGCGGAGTTCTGAGCAGTTCTATGTATATAATATACGTAGTATCCCTTACATTGGGAGCATAACATACAATGTGAGCATAACATACAATGTGACCATAACATACAATGTGACCATAACATACAATGTGACCATAACATACAATGTGACCATAACATACAATGTGACCGTCACATACAATGGGAGCATCACAGACAATGATAGCATCCCACACAACGCGAGTGTCACATACAATGGGAGTATCAATTATACAATGGAAATATCACATACAATGGAAATATCACATACAATGGATAATCTATATGGTGTATGTGAAAGTGAAGAATAAAAATAAAAGTATGGGCCTTATGTGTGTTATGTCAGATCTTCATTCATCGGCATGATGACATATCATGTCCTGAAAAAAAATGTTTCTGATGTTATCTCTCTTTTTTTTAAAAAAAGCTTTGAATTTGTAAAGAACAACCTTCACCACACGTCATTTAATGTCACAAGAAGTGAGATTTTCACTCAGAGTTTATAGAAATGTGTCACTAAACTTTCTTGTTAACTGTATTCTCATTTATTGCCATCATATTATCATATCAATTATTTTCTCTATTTCTCCACCTTCATAATTATTATAATTTAAACTATTTTATCTCTATCGTCTCTATTAAAATTATAATCACGTATATTATTTTCTCTATTTCTTCACAATCACTCTAATTTTTTTTATTTTTTTTACATAATGCAGACATTCATGAATTTTTTTTAATATCTTTTTTTTTTAAGTCTCACATTTTATTTTATTCATAAAGTAACTAGAGCTCTAAAACAAAGAACCATCAATTTTGAATTGGAATCGCAGAGCAAAGTTTTTGTTAAGAAAACAACATCGCTTGATTCTGCTTGTTACATATTTGGAGTACGAGGTCTGCTCTTATTATTATAAATTTAAAAATCTTGATTCCTCGTTCACGTTGGGGCAGACAATAATAATGGTGTGTGATGTCTGTCCCATTGTTAAACCAGGTAAGCGAAAAGCGACTCCACGCTGGGCCTCCTGTTGAATGTTCCCCCCGCCCCCCATGCACTTACACCGATCTAGTGTACGTGTTGATGGTGAGTTCAACAACAAACAAAAAAATTGGATGAATTGTTTCTCGACACCACAACGCGCCAACCGAACGTGTGCTGTGTTCTTTTCTTTTGTTGGTGGAATGGTGAGAAATATAGCGGTGCATTCTTCAAGCTAAGAGTTTTGTTTCATTTCATGGAGAAAGAAAATGGTTTGACTGGAATTCAATGGAGATCTTTCGTTGAAATGTGTCTCTCGGTATTTCAGTGCCACGGGCAATGTTGTGGGAAATGTCTCTTGTTATGAATGGTGCGTGGACTTTCAAAACCGGTGACGTGCGTGGGTGGACCACACGAGACCAGATAAAGAACAGTTGTATTTCGGGACGTCCCCTTTTTTTTTATGAGCTAAGGAAATAGTGTCTCGATGTTGCCCGATCCATGCCAGCCGCCAGCCGCCAGTCGACAGCTGGATACACCCTAATACAGGTAATGTACAGATGTATCTAAAACAATATTGACCGCATCACGGTAATCACTAACATCCGTAGCCTCGGGTTGCTTCTCCTTCGCGTATGAAAAAAAAAAAAGACCTACAATATTTAACTTCACAGGTATTCAAAGTGATCACTACGGTTCACGTAGTAGGTTATTGGGGTGGAGAGTTTGACAAAAAAATTGCGGGGACGCTCGTTGTTCCGTAAGTTGCCGACGTCGCACGAAATCCGGGTACTCTGTTGTTTCATTTTTGTCGACCGCCTATTGGAGGATATTTTTATATCTTTTCGCGTCATAAAGTCGGGTGGGGGATCAATATACCAGCGCTTTATAATGCGCTTTGAAAGTAGGGTTCTTCAGTATCGTTAGAGGAACGGGTATTCAACACTTGTAAATAAAATGTGTACCATTTAAATATTAATTTAAACATTAAAAAATCTACATACTTTTGTTAAAGGCAGTCACATTTTTGTTTAACCTGAATCATCAAGACTAGCCGATTTTAAAAAATTGTAAAAAAAAAAAGTATATGCCAAAAGTTTGTTGACAAGTAAACAGGCCCAACGCCGGCTTGGATAGCTAAACAGAAACTTGACAAAAGAGCGTATTCTTCCACAGTTGAGGCCGTAGAGAATTCCTCCTTGTTACAGACACGCATCGTCAATACGAATAAAACAATAGACGAGGGGAACATCTCCAGGTCTCGACTGCTGCACTGACTCAATTTGGGTCAACACGCTTAGAGAGTAAACACGCCATAATGAGGTAAGTTTGACTTTACGTTTATTTCGAACATTGCAATTGAAACGGTGGAGTTTAAGACTCTTTTCCACAAAACTTCCTTTTTTTTTTTTTTTTTTTACTGATCAATCTTGTGTCGTCAACATTTGTTTTATTTGAAGCAGGATTTATGTTCTCTTGTAAACACGATTTGTTAAGTCAAGTCAACCCCATGGCTAAAGGGTGAGTACTCGTGAATTTTGTAAGAGTTAACGTTATTTGGTCTTCGGCTTCGCTGAGTCAGTCAGTCTGCACGCGGATCGCTGAAGGAATACCTTGATTAAGTCACTCGGTTCATTTGTGAGAGATTCAGTAGTTAAGGTCAGTCCTACCTCACAGCATCAATATTTAGATACTGTCGCCAAATATTTTCCCCGTGCCCGGGTGTTTGTCCTGTCTGCGCCATCGGGTGTCGTAAATTTCGCAAACAAGTTATCTTGACTTACTGATTTGACTTACTCTTGACTTACTGATTTGACGTCGCCAGCAGGTCAAATCAAGGAGCTTGTGACGTAACTAATCGCCGGGGTTCAGTTAGCTGTTTCAGGGTGAGACTGCCTGGTATAAATTAGGAGCGGTTTAAAATTAGATTCAGTGTGAACAATTTTCGTAGTGAGAACTAAAAAAAAAAAAGGAACAGGAGAAATTAGAGGTTGGTTTTATCGTTTGGATTGGATCAGTTTAATTTGACATCGAAGCTTGCTCATTTGTTTCTTTATGTGTTGGCTATGTCATTTAAATAAATACATAAAATGATTTTCCAAAATAAATGCAATATAATTCGTACATAAATATATTTTTCTGTGTGGTAGCTTACGGTACAATACATGCATATTTGTATAACATGCCCGTTTTATGTGTGGTAGCTTACAGTACTATACAATTATATTTGCATATCTTGCCAGTTTTCTGGGTGGCCCGTGGTTCAATAATTTGTCAATGCAATATTACCAGTCCAATATGAATGATTACGACAGCAAATTATATATACAGTTCTAACCTTCAATAAAAATAGAATATATCCTCTAATCGAACGCTTTTCACGGTTAAAATGGGAAAACCCAAATGGCCAAACCAAAGTCATAGACTAATTCCCGAAATGTTCAAAGCGTACTTTTGTTGATAATAAATTTAATGATAAAATCATAAACCCGTGTGATTGAATTGCGCCCCGTGTAGGCCTATTGGCATGCGAAAACTTAGGTGAAAATGACAACCCACGTATGTTTCAAAATCTCAAGGTGGCGATATTTATCTTTGTTCAACTTCACGCTTGTCCTTGTGAGTGCGCCTAACAATGAGCGTTGGGGAATCCATTGTCTTAACGGATTAACAAATGCGCCGACCTGTCAAAAGAAAAAAAAAAGGCTTTGTGAGATGTCAATGAATCGCTTTCATCAATGCGTGCTTAGCCTGGACCGTTTAGCGTAGTTTAGTCAATGTTTGCGTAGATCTTCACCCTACACATGATCTTTAAAATGACGAACGGCTCGCAACACACCCATCGTCCGAAGTGCTAATCAATTGTGGCCTACCAAAGCTCACCATAAACTCTTAACGCGATTTTTATTTCAACTTTTGTAATAAAGCGAACAATTAGGGTTTATATTATGTCCTCAAAATAATGCATCCTTCAAACATTTGAAAATACAAAAAAAGTGACGCATTTAGTTCATTTCGAATCTAGAATATTTAACGTATAACATTCCAATCTAGCTCGCTAGCATGTAATAGCTTAAACATTCCAATCTACAACAGACCCGACAGAATGGAGGGAGAAGCAGAAGACTTCGCCGCCATCTTGTACGCCGAGCCTGGGGCTCTTGGGCTCATCTCGAACATTGTTGCCGCTCTGATGATAGCCACGGAGAATTGCCTGGACCCGCCCTTCTCAGCCACTGCTCTCACCCTCTCAGGTAACATTTGTAATTGTTTCCTATAACTCATCACACTTCTTGGTCTCTATGAGAAGGAAAACAATTCTCGGCAGCTTTAATCGAGAAAACTGGGCGGTTCATTAATTCGGTATTTACGAGACATTTTGTAAAGCTGCAGTTCGATGTCTGCCCCCAGTGGCGTAGCTAGGGTTGGTGTCACTCGATGCAGTAAACTCATGGTGTTAACCGCTGCAGTAAACTCATGGTGTCACCAGGTGCAGTAAACTCATGGTGTCACCCGGTGCAGTAAACTCATGGTGTCACCCGGTGCAGTAAACTCATGGTGTCACCCGGTGCAGTAAACTCATGGTGTCACCCGGTGCAGTAAACTCATGGTGTCACCCGGTGCAGTAAACTCATGGTGTCACCCGGTGCAGTAAACTCATGGTGTCACCCGGTGCAGTAAACTCATGGTGTCACCCGGTGCAGTAAACTCATGGTGTCACCCGGTGCAGTAAACTCATGGTGTTACCCCCCTCCCCACCTCCCCAACTAAAATAAGCCCACAGTATAACAATGACAAGAGCAAAAACAAATTAAGGTAAGGTCAGGAGGTAAATATCTTTAAGAACTGTAACATGTACCCGGTACTTAGAATCGCTCGACCACATCGTATTTGGTATCAATAGAAAGCTTTATTTGTCAGACAATTTATATAAATATAGCTTCGTGTCAGCTACGAAAGTTACCGAACACTGCAATCAGCGTGTAATCGGATATCCTTTTATGTAATTTTGTTAGACCGAGCAGTGTGGTCTCTGTAGATATATATGTTTTCAATTTGGTGTCCCCCCTTGAGATGGTGTCACCCGATGCGGTCCACCACCCCCCCCCCGCCCGCACCCTCCTGGCTACGCCACTGGTCTGCTCTATATAGGTGTGGTTTATTTAATAAATTGTCACATGTGTCAAACAGGCAATAAATTGAAGTCCTTTTTGACCAAGTTTCTTTTTATCAGGCTTACTCCACCATTAGCAAGCTGCTGCGATAACCAACAATTTTTCTAAAACATTTCGTAACTTTACCGAAACAACTAACGAGGATTTACATTTTAAACATAAAAATGACAGAGTAGCATGAGATACGTTATTCTAAGACTAGATACATGATATTGTATGGCAAAGTTTATGGCAAAGTGTATGTAAATAAAATGTGTTCTCATGCCTACAAAAAAAAACTGATTCCATACAACACGTTTGCCATGTGAAGATATTTTCTTCCACAGGTGTTCACCTCATCGTGGTCGGTGGCCTCCTTCAAATAGTCGCAGGACTTTTGGCGTTCCGTAGATGGGACCACCTGACAGCAACGGCCTTCATCGTCTTCGGATCTCTCTGGACTTCTATGGGGATCTCCCGTATCCTGGCTGCACAGACGGGTGATGTGGAGGCCTCCCGGGTAGGAACTCTGCCAGGCCTCATTGGCTTCATGGCGGTGGCTGTCATCCTGTGCGTCTGTGCCGTCACCGTCAACTTCCTCCTGCCTCCGGTCCTGGTGGCCATTTTGTTGACGCTGATTTTTGAAGGGGTCGGCGCGAGTTTCGCGTGGGGCAGGAGGGTGGCTGCCGCGTTTGAGCTTTTTATAGTTATCACGGGCGTGTACGCGGTGGTCGTGATGATGCTGAAGGGCGTCAGCCAACGGTACATCCTACCCGGCTTCGGCAACGCACCCTACGACCCTCTCCTCATGAGGGCGGCCGGGGGCCCAGCCCCGAAGAACGAGAAGAAGAAGGTCACCAAGTACTCAGAGCCGATGGGAATGGGCTTCCTTGGCAACGTCGTGCCAGCTGCGGTCATGGCTTTCCACCATCTTGGGTTCTTCACCGACTTCCGGCCGGCCATCGCCATGTTTATTTTCACCACGCTGTGCCAGGTCCTGGGTAGTTTCTACTCTTTCCTACGTCACGACTTTTTCCACGCCATAACATTCATTATCTACGCAATGTTTTGGAACTCGAGGGCGATCCTGCAGTTTTTGATTTCGATGAACTTCCCAGGTATCATGGATTCAAGGATCAACTTTTTCGGGCAATGGACTTTGATTGGTCTTTTGATTGTAATGACGATCATCTCAGCAAGCCATAATAGGTGAGTTTCATGAGCACGTGAAGCAAAGGCAATAGTTGCAATCCATACATATTTTAGCGAAATATAAAGTTATATATAACGAAAATAATGAATACTTTTACTGAATCCAACTTTTTAAGTGTAATATTTGTAGGTCCATTTGTTAACAGCGTTAAAAAAAAACCTCAACTCTCTTGAGATTTAGTTTAACATGTTAAAAACCAGATAGAGGCGTTTGAAATTGACGATTCCTTCAATTTTAAATTAAGCTCTATTTTTAATTTATGTGACATTAATCCCTCAGAGTTGTTTTCCTGTACAACATCATGTTTGTCATCATGGCAATCCTTTCCGTGGACCACATCCCTGTCGGCGTCCACAACTTCACCTTTGGTGTGACAGCAGCCATCACAGCGGTCCTCAGCCTGTACGTTGGCATGTCAGCTCTCGAGAACTCCATAGCCGAGAAGGCGGTCATGTACATCGGTGCAGAGATCATCCCGTCTGACAAACTCAAGAACTTCATCGGGAAAATCTTCTGCACACTCAAGTGAGTAAAATTCGTTTTTTTTTCTTGTTCTTTGTTATCTATAATGTTCTAACGCTTAAGAAGATTCAGTTCAAGAAAATTACTGCATGTAACTGTCGAAATCGACTATGAACACCATCATCATCGCGAACTTGGCTGTAGGTATGTAGAGCGCTGATGAGACCGAATCTGGCACGAGATGTTCTCGTGTAATAGGTGCGAGGGATTGATGGGGCATCTGCAAGTGAAGAGTCAAATATATATATATATATTATGTATGTCTTCAGTTAGGCCGTTTGCTTGATATAGATATACGTAGGCTCAATGAATTCATTTTTTTAAAACGTCGGTAACCTAGGCGACAAGGTTTTAAACATGACCATACCTATAAGTAAAATTGGTAAATTCATTAATTTATTTATTTTAGGGCATCAACGTACTTGACACTTGGATGAATTGTTAATGATAGATTGGAAAATTATTTTATGTTATACAGATGTACTGCTCGAACACAGAGAAGGAATCATCTGTGTGGTTTAACTTACAAAAACATGCATGGTAGAGTAGGTGGGCCTGGATCTTAATACTCTGATCATTGATCAGCACAGATCACACAGTCTTGTTTAACAGGATCTGTTGATTTTACAGAGAGAAAGAAAGTGCAAAGAACGAATATGACGACGATGACTACATCGACCTAAAAATTGTTGACACCCTCATATTCACTGGCAGCACAGTGGCGTTGATGGCCCTCTCAGCATCTGAGGCAACTAACCCGGTATGGAGGTTTCTTTTACTATAAACTAAATCAGTGGGTCTCAACCTTACTGCAATGCAGTGACCCTTTAATACAGTTCCTCGTGTTGTGATGACCGACAACCATAAAATTATTTTCGTTGCTACTTCATAACTGTAGAGTATATGTGTTTTCCGATGGTCTGGAACGACCCCTGTAACCCACAGACTGAGAACCGCTGAACTAAATAATCATTTCTTGAATTAATTGTTGCTGTGCTCTGTGCAGCTGTTAGCATTTGAAAATTCCGTCACAAATATATATATTAAAACACAGTTGCTGAATTTAAATGTTTTCTAAATTGTTTTTCTTGTAGATGTATGCTGTAGCTTGGATTATGGTAGCTGGTGTGTTCATACACCTGTATGCTGCCAGATTGGCCTACGCTGCCGGCTCTTTAGCAAAGGCTTACTCCGCCGTCGTCCTGGCGGTCATCTGGATGGTATGGACCGCCCTTTTCCTCAACGGTGAGTACACGGAAATGTATCCACAAGTGCGCACAGCCATGATTCTTTGACTTCATTAAAGAACACACTATTTCCAGGTACCGCAGTGTCAGCTTTAAATGACATGGGGTGCGCAATGCAAAGGGAGCATTGTGCTCTAGTCTATCACTAGACATTTGATTAATTATCGGGCAGTTAGGATTTAAATTATACTTTATTATATGAGTTGTATCGGGTCTTTGTGCCGGGGGTGGGTGGTGGAATGAATCGGAATTTATAATAAAAATGTGTTTGCACATTTTTCCAACACAGAGAATCTGGCGTTGGCTCTTCGACCTCTGTCAGTAGGACTGCTGTGTCTGTTCACTGTTGTCATGGTGATAAGTCCAAGCTTTACTCGCGTATGGATCCCATTCACGCTCTTGATGGAGTTGGTGGTCATCACCCAAGTTGTCACCGTGTTCAACACTAATCCTAGGTGGATGATTCTTGTCACAGCCTTACTCGCAGGTTTGTGGATACACGCAAATAGTGTTTTTAATAAAAAAAAAAATTCCTATTTGGCCTTTTTTCGGTTTGGTTTGAACTTTTTTCAAAAGTTTGATCTGGCAACCCTGGGCAGAAAGGGAGACAGGTCAAATAAAATTTTAATTCGGGACATAATGATGTTAGCTCGTTTAGTTGTAATGAGTTCATTCATATATTTAAAAAGGCGGGTAATTTTTGTGATAAACAAATTTTTTAAATTCAAATAGCTTATTTTCCACTTTAAACAGTACTTCACAAAAATTATAAATTTGATTCAAATATATAGTAATATAACTTATAAGTAAGCTATCTGAAATGTTTGTTATTAATTGTTTAATAAGGCTTTTTTTTTTTAATGCATACTCCCAGAAATAATTTAAGTTTAAGGCCTATACTATAAATATAAATATGAGGAAATTAATTATTATTTGTCATATATTATTTAACAAATGCAATGATTTAATGATTTTCAGCTGTGATAAGTTTGTATGCAGCAACAGCTGAGTATATCAACACATTTCTGCAGTGCTCGGTCATCCCAGTTGGTGAACCTCTTGTCAAGGTATCATTAAAATAAACAATTATTAAAAGAAAACAAAAGAAAAAGTGTTATAATTTTGGAATGCATCCAGATGATAACACAATTGAACAAAAAGTTTTAAATCATTAACCTCACTTGTTTCGTCTTTCCAAGCTCACTTGAAATATTTCAAGGGAAGCAACAACGTAAATATTGATTAGGGTTTGTAAAATTCTCATCACTTCCCCAAATAAAAATTATTTTTTTACAAAGTTTGACACATATTTGAAACATTCATTCCATTGTTACAGTCTGCACCTTACTGATTGTGAATATTTAAACCCAACTCCAATCTAATACTAATATATCTTTTCTGGTTTTTTTTAATAAGGAAAAAGTAAACGAGGCCGACAAAGCTGAACCACCGTGTCCCCTATTTACTTCCCGACGAAGCTCTGCACTCAGACAAGTTGCCAAGCTGTTAGATCAGGGTTGTGTCGTTGGTGTGCCAACAGATACAGTATATGCTGTAGCAGGATCCTGCAAACACCCAGAGTCTATTAAAAAGATTTACAATGTTAAGGTAAGAACCTGCTAGTATCAATAGTTACAAGATTTTATAGTTACGCACCCCTACACTGTTCTTTTTTTTAAAAATATTTATGGCAGGATAACTTTTAAAATTGTTATATATGAGACTATATGCATAAACCTAAGTATTTAAATTAAACATAAGTATATTTGTTTTATCTAGGGTCGTCCTGCAGAGAAACCAATCTGTCTATGTCTGTCCAGCCTTGACCAGTTAGCTGATGTCAATCCACCATTCAGCGACCTTCTTTGGAATTTCATGAGACGCTGCTACCCAGGGGGAATAAGCTGTGTTGTGCCAAAAGGAGAGTGGCTCAGGGTAAATTGAATGGACTGTGACTGCTCCCGACACAGTGGAGGAAATAAAATTTAACTAGTTAATGAGAGAATATGATCAATTGATTAATATTCTAGATCTACAAACTGAAGCAGAAATTTTCTTGTCTAATTAGTATGATTTTTTTTTTTTTAAATCCTAGAATCTTGGACTTGGTGACTCTGTCAACTATGTAGGAACTGCCCAGAGTATTTGTATTCGTGTACCAGACAGCTCGGTATTGGCTTATCTGGTCAGTCTGTCTGGACCTGTAGCTTTATCCTCTGCTAATCCCAGTGGTGGAGATGACAGCACACATCATGATATGGTCATAAACTCCCTGGGTAAGTCATTTGTTCAAATTAATGAGATGACTTTAAGTTGAAATTGTAAATGGTGTGAAATTCAATGACTTCAAAATGATCTGGAACTTCCTCAAAAAAATTTCTCAGTTTATAAGTTTTAAAATTTCAATTGATTATGTTTTTGACATTGATAAAGTTTTGTCATAGAGTTATGAGTTTTTTTTAAAATGGTGAAATTATTTAAGTACTCTAAACACAATTTGAAAATTAATTTTCCTAACAGGAGACAAACTGGATGGTGTTGTTTGTGATGGCAAGTCCAATGAACTTGTAGCTTCCACAGTTGTAAATTGCCTGAAAATTGATGAAGGTAGATACATTATGATTCATAGCGAAAAGTCTTGTCCTTAAACTCATGGCATTAATTTTTTTCTTCAACTAAAATTAAATAATAATGAACTTAACCTATACATAGGTATATATCTATTAAAATAAATATTTTTTAATGTCACATAGAAACTCAACAATTTTATTCATTTTAAGATTTTCATAACAACTGTAGCCAATTTCTCAATCATATTAAAAAATCTTTTTTGTTTATAATTACAGGCATAATTACATATTTTCGAATTGGCTGCACACCTCAAGATGTTGTTGATGCTCATTTCGAGGCAGCTAAAGCAGAGATTGCATCCAAGTCTTCCAAACTTAACATGCATGAAAAGCTTTCATAGAAAACAGGAAATGTTTGTCATTTATTAGCATATTCAAAAGTAATATTTTTCTTACTTTTAATAACTTTTCAAATTATTTTCCAACCGTTTGCATATAAAAAAGGCATCACCAAAGAGTCCATATCTAAGATTAAGAATGATTTTTAGAGTAGCCCTATTTGTCAATGAATCCAACTTATCACCAAAGAGTCAATATCTAAGATTAAAAATGATTTTTTAAAGTAGCCCGATTTGTCAAGGAAATCCCACTTAAGAAAATTAATCAAGAAATGAATCATACCTTTATGAGTTTTTAATGGAGATAACTCTTTCAAATTTCTGAATATATCATAAGTATTACAATTTTTGTGCCCATATCAAGTTATTTTGTAAGTATTTTGAACTTTTGTTGTTGAACAAATTATAAATATTCTCTAGAATACTTTTGAATTTCATGTCACAATGGAGACATAATGTTCAATATGTAAAATATTAATTAAAATTTAATATTCTGAAAGATTAGATGTTTGAAACAAATACAGATTAATTAAATATTGTAAATAACAAATGTTGAATAATAGAATGTGCAGTGATATAATACTGCAAGTTATAAATTATGTGATGAGTGTTTGAATACAAAAATGTCACTTTTATGCAATTAATTCTATCTCAGGAAATATATACAGCTTTTGACCACAGAGATTCTCTTTGTAAACATTTTCTTTTTAATTGAATTAAACAAATGTAAATTATTATTTTTTTTAAACTGTATGGCAGTTGACATTGATCCTATTTCGGACAAATCATATCTTTTTTTTTTAATTAGTAACATAGTCTTATTATTTACAATAGTCTATGCAGCAAAAAGACATACATTGAAACAAGCTTTTTTGCTACCCTCTTCCACGAAAAAAACTCTGCAGTTGGCACATGCTTTCCTTTAATTTAAAGAAAAAATGTGCCCCCTCTGCACCCAACTAAACCATTGCATTGAAACTCATTTGTTTGAAAATCTAAACTTCCCCATACATTCTGAATTATTAAAAAAAAATTTTGTGAACAAATAATGAATTCTTAAATTGGCATTGAATATAGATGTAACTTTTCCATAACATCTTAAAGTTTTATAGATTTTAAGGATGTAAGTAGTGATTTGAAGAAAAAGAGTGTCACGTGAACTTGTGCCATAATATGTATACAAAATATGGGTTTAGCTTTACCTTATTCCTTTTATATTATTTTTACATTCATTTTAAAAATATTTAGAACTTATAAAAAATTTTGTGTCAAAATTTGATTATTTATTTTAGCAATTAGTTATTTTCTAAAAATGTGCGCTGGCGCCCATTGCAAATAGTAAAAAATATCATTTTTATCTTAATATTTTGCATCAAAGTTTTATTCAAATTTTTTGAAAATCTAACTTTTAAATTAGATCTACCTTTCCTCCATCTTTACTTATTAGAAACCTTAACTTTATTTCTTTATCATAAATGTTTCACATAGCACAGCTATAGGAGATCCAATACACCAAGAACTAGAATTACAATATTGGAAAAAAAGTTTGTATAATGCTTACACTTTTTTCAAAACAATTTAACTGGAAAAAAAAATTCAAGTTGTTAGGAAAAAATTGAGCTTCCATTTGCTATCTTACTATATTTTGTAAATTTTATAATGAAAATAAGTTAAATGATCATAATTAATAATGACCTTAATAAAGTTAATATTTGTAAATATATTTAGCTTAAATAAAATTTTGTGCTGTGTATGAGAAAAATAGGGAACTACCGTCCTTGATCTGTTTTTACTGGCTGGGTAGAAGTAGATTAAAAATTATTTTCAATTTTCAAAAAATAATGCTACTTATTGAATATTTTTATGTGACGTAAGACACATTTTAGGATTTTGTTTACTTTAATTTTATTAAAATAATATTTTCATTATTTTTTTTTCTACTTTCTGTGCCTTGCATTATTATTAAAATTAATTGTAATTATGTAATTAACTTGTATATGCCTATGTATGTGCTTGTTTTGAATGATAAATTCTTGAGTTTTTTTAATGATATAATCATGAGTTTGTTTTGAATTATATGTTTTGCGTGTATTGTCTACATCTTAAATTTGTTATGCTAAATAAAAGAAATTGAGCCAAATTTTGCTTTTTGTCTTTTATTTTGTTGGCGTTAACAAAAAAGTAAAGACATGAAAATAGTTTCTTACATTTAATACCTTATATTCTAAGGTTTTGAAAATTAAAATCTATTTTAGGCTCATAAATTATTCAACTATATTGACATAGTGACTCCTCCATATATATTAAGTAGACACAATTTTTCTTGCTCTTCAACTAGAGTAAGCAAAGTAGAAAAAAAATATAGTTTTTTCAATGATAACAACAAATAATTGTGTAATTCTGGCTTCAGTTATTAGCAATGAATAAAGACTCACAGCGAAAAAATAAAAATCCAGCTACACTAATAATTTAATCGTTTATGACACTTTTTTTTTTTTTGCATTACAACAGATACAACCAAATCAATTTTATGGCCTTCTTTGGTTTTATACACTATAATTTTATTTGATTTATAAATTGTTAAACACTTAAAACAGTTCATTGAGCACAATACATCTTTAAAATTCAAAATAAACCATTATTGTAGGGCATTAACTTAAAATAAAACAATTCTGCTCTTATTTAATTTTTTTATGTACTAAAATTTTTAGTCCGTTATCAATCAGCCATTATTTTTACAAGCATTATCAGTCATTTAATGAAGAATAGTTATAAAGTGTTCAGGAATAAAAATTACTGCTCAAACCAGTGCACTTAGCTAATATAACTAGAGGTACGTATTGAAGAGAACAAAGTAAATAAAAAAAATTGATAAACTACAGCTTTATGTTTAAAAAAAAAATGATTTGAGTATTTTTCAAATTTTAATGTCTTAAAAATAAAAATTGGAAGAAGCAAAATTAATAAATTATGGAGAGCTGAACTTAAATAAAAAAAAAAAAAGTTTTCTGAGTCAGAAATCAGATGTTTTTGATCACACAAAATAAAATTACATAAGCCTTGAAAAACACAAATTAATATAATAAATATAAGTGTGCATGATTTTCAATTACATATTTTAAAGAAATGAAGTAATTCTCATAACATATGTGCAATACTATGAATAAAAACTCCATCAAAATACATGTAATGGATTTAATTTTAAAAATACTATCTGTATTTTGTACTTTAAGATTCTTTACTCCCTCATGTGGAGCCTGATGGTTTACATTCTGATTATAAACTAATACAGTTTGCGGCTTGTTTACCAAATAAAACAAAAAAGTAAATTCAATACTAGATAATATACAAAGTTAAAGTCTGGATACACATAGCACCATCTTGGTGACAAAATTATTTCAAAAAGCATCTAAAAAAATGATAATAAATACTCTAGTAAAATTTAGCAGCATGAAATTTTTGATTATTTTAACTTACTGATGAAAAGAAATATCAAACACAACAGGGAGACAAAATAAGGGGAGATAAATGCACAAACGTAAAGATTTAAAAATTATTGGCCAAAGTCTTAATTGGAAACGTTTTGTAACTTAAAATTTTGACAGATGAGACCTGATACGTTTGTATTTTAGCTGTCATAAAGGATATATGTACCTGACAATATGATACAATACAGTATTTTAGGAATTTGATTTATCATAGTTGTAATTCAAACTGTTTTAAAGAGAAGTACCTCCTATTGGAAAAAACAACAAAAAAAAACGAAGCAGCATGTGGAGAGTTGGAGTTAAATGAAACTTTGTTATTTAATTTGACCTAATACAGTGCTGCATATGGTTGGAGACAAAGTTGATGAAACTTCATCATCTACTCTCTAGATGTCAATCGAAATATCACAAAATGGAATTAAGTGAATGAGAAAACAATTAACATGGCATTCTGGGAATGAAAATCATTTAAGTTTAAATAACTAGCCTTTAATTTACTTAATAAATAAAATCTAGTCATGAGATCACAAAACAATTATCCATTAACTTAGGAGAAATGGGAAACTATTGTTCAACTGAAGTTTTATCAGCGCATCATAGTTCCAAAGAGAAAAATATGGTTTAGGCTTATCAATTTCAATTAAAAATTCAGATGTCATCTTTCTTCATACTATGAGGCAACAATTTTTTGTTTTGATTTTTCACTTATTAAGATAACTTGAATATATGAGAACAAGGTACTTGTAACTTGTACATAATTTGTCACAAATGTCAACGTAAGACACTTGATTTATTATTTTTTACAAAAAAAATGTATGCACACAATATATATACATGGATATATTATCTGGTCAGTTGTATACAGAATACAAAATGTATTATTATACTCTAAAATGTCTTAATAACAATAACAACAAAAAAAAGCTTGTAAAATAACTAACAATCCATGGCCTTCTATAATGAATTAATTAATAAAATAAAGATTTTATACTTTTTATGACATTGTTATGTTTTTGAGCCACTTGCCAGATAGTGGGAACTAGCTGGTTTAACCTGCCATACCATCTATTGCTTTACTTATTAAATATTTGGAACCAACTTGTTAAACTGACTATACCATCTTTTGCATGACTTGCCTGAGATAGTGGGGACCAGCTTGTTAAACCAGCCCAAAAATCTGTTGTTTTAGAGATGTTCAAACGTTCCTAAGTCTTCACTTACTTGCTTGTTGAGATCTGTACGGTTATACAGAATTTAAAATATTTTCATGTTACTGACCTTATCTACCCGTACCTGAAGATTTCTAACAACTGGTGCCAAGTGATAACACTACTTGGAAAATTTAAAACAAAATTGTAAAAAAATCTATTTAAAGAATATGAAGTTTTGGGGAAAATTTATCAAATTCTAAATATAAATTGAAAAAAAAAACAAAAAGCTGTTCAGGAATAATACAATTTTAGTTAAAAAACGTGAAATATATAATATTTTCTACCCATCACAATACAGTTTTCTGGTTATAGTTGTTAATACAAAGCACTGTGTCTCAAAAAGATGCATAATTATCAAATGATAAACCGAAATACCCATTAACCGTTTCCTCTGGAGATCACAAAAAAGTAAATTCAAGTACATTTGAAACGATAAATAACCTGATGTTGTGCACTAGATATCTTCTTGACACATTAATTGCATATTAAAGGCGGTCAACTCTGTTGGTGTAGTTGGATATCTCTATGAGATTGCCGTCAGGATCTCTGACATAGATAGACCTAATGCTGCCCACTGCACCAGTTCGTTCCACGGGTCCTTCCACAATAGTTATGTTACAAGTCTGAAAATAAAATGTTTGCAAATTATGAACTAACAAAAAAATAATATTTCCTAATGGGTTGCCTCAATTTGAAACAAACTTTTACAAACCTGCTAACTCTTCCATCATACATGAGGAAATCTTCTTTCTCTTTTAAACATTCTTTTACCATGCTTTTTGGTAGATTTGAATGCAGAGATAAGTAGATTATCTACATATAGTAGATATTATTTATAAACATATAGTCTCAGCTTATTTGAAATATCCCACCATGGTTTTATTACACAACTTTTAAGTTTCACTTCACTTTTTAATTTTAACTTATCAAGAGCTAGTGAGTGTTCAGATAATGCAGGAATCAAAGTTGAATGAAAAAAAGTGGTTGTGTTTTAAATCAAGCAAAAGAGAACACACTTTCTTTTAATAGCACAAAAGTTATGTCTTTTAGGAATGTTTGTGCCAACTATTTCATTACGAATGACTTTATTTTACTTTATTTAACTTATTCAATTCCAAAAAACAAAGAAATTTTTTAATGGCAGTATTGAATTGATTTGTTTGAAATTAAAAATACATATTCAACTTAATTTAAATTTAAAAATTTAAAAAAACAAATAATTTTAACTAAAAATAATAAATGCATGCACAATCAAAGGAAATGGCATGAGGGCATATGTGAAAAGATGGCTAGGACATCATTTTCCTGAATTCAATTCTGATTGGCTCATAAAATGTCTGAGGATGTGGCCACTTACTTATTATATATGTGAATAAGTTATAATTAAAGTGATCAAATGAATTCTTTTAAGAATTCTCACTAAAAGTAACTTTTCAATCTACATTCAACAATCCCTGGAGTTAAAAAAAAAGTTAAAGAATGTAGCTGTAAAATTTGGTTTCCATCAAGCCATACAATATAAAATTAAAGGAGACTTTTGCCTGTTTAGGGTTGAACAATGATACCCCTCTCATGCCAAATTATGAGTTAAATATATTGAAAACTGTTGTTACAGTTTCACTTAATTGAAAGACACTTTGCCTGTTTACGGGTGAACAATGATACCCCTCTTATGCCAAATTATGAGTTAAATATATTGAAAACTGTTGTTACAGTTTCACTTATTTGAACGAGAATTTGTCTGTTTACAGGTGAACAATGATACCCCTCTCATGCCAAATTATGAGTTAAATATATTGAAAACTGTTGTTAAAGTTTCACTTAATTGAAAGAGAATTTGCCTGTTTACGGGTGAACAATAATACCCCTCTCATGCCAAAGTATGAGTTAAATATATTGAAAACTGTTGTTACAGTTTCACTTAATGACCGGGTTAAACAAAAAGTTTTGTCGCTTCCATCCAAATTTCACACAAAAAGACAAAAACCTAGTAAAAGCAGAGCAGATATAAAGAAATAAATGGTTGTTAAAAAAATGTGGTTATGCAGCCAAATTAAATTATTCCAAGAAAACAGTCACAACTACAATGTCTCACAATCACAATCTAGTTATGAGTTATAATAACAGTGGCATAGTGGATCAAGTGATAGTGACTTTACTTTTTTATATACTTAACACATGATCACAATAATACAATAGTTGATACGAAATGGGTCCATGTCACATATAAATATATTAAATCCATGAAATACTTGTAATGTATATTCTCTGTAAACTCATTGGCAACTTCTCTACTTGATAAAGATATCACTATGGCCAAATCTTCTTACATAAATATGGATGTAAATCAACTGTCACCATTTCATTGCTATCTTTTCTCTGATTGGTTACTTTTTACCAAGTCCCAATATTCCCTTATACTACAAGTGATAATTCTCACATTACTTAACTCCCTTGTATTCAAAATCTAATATCTGTGACAGAAACCCAGGAAGTTGCATTCTACATTTTACAACTCGGACCTCAAATATGTTTATCAGAATCTGACCTTAAACTATCATTAAGATTCTTATGAGCAGGAATCACAATGAAAAAGATCACAATAACATAATCAAAATGGTCAACTATAGCTATTAATATGTAAACTTTATCTTTCAATGGAGCAATATGACCAAGTCTTATCTAGTTGACTATGATGTAAATTTACCTTTAAATAAGCTGAAACCTCATCAGGCTTACTAGGCACAATTAAACAACTATAATTTAAATGGTACCTTTAAATGAGCTGAAACTTCATCTAGTGTACTAGGCGTAATGAAACAAAGATCAGCTGAGCCAGGCGTGGGAACTTCAGACTTTGGATCAAATTCTTTGCCTAATTCATGAAGGTTGATTTTCTGCTCCCCAAAGTTCAGAGCTTTACGTCCTCCCTGTAAAATGTAATTTGATTACTTAAAATTCTAAACATTCCATAAAATTGGATTTTGTTAAGAATTAAGAAACAAAATGACCCATTTTATTATTTTTTAAAATGTTTTTTAAAATTTATTTCAGAAATAACAGAAAACTGAACTGAAAGTAAATTATCAGTTCACTATTATTTATATTTTTATTTTTAATATTTTTAATATAAGTTTTTGTGACACTGAATGTTAACCTATTGTTAGGTCTGTTTATCAGCAATAGGTAAACATTCAATGTTCTTTAGGTCAAAAAACATGAAAACCTTTTTTATAACTATTGGTATGAAACCGTTTTTTTTATATTAATTGTATGTATTGTGAACAACTAACAAAACCATTTCAGCTAATTGGGAGGTAAGATACATCTATAAATACACTTTAAAAAAGATTAATATTTAAGATTTACAATAATGTATTTCTAAGTACTAATGATGATAATTGATAGGCCTAAAATTGCACTATTTTTGTGTATTATATTTAAATTATTTTTACCTTATTATGTTAAATATATTTTGTGGTAATAATTTCACTTACAGTAGCAAGTATAAAATGCACTTTCCCCCTTGTAAAATCCACAATATACCGACCGTCTCAGCCTTCAAAACTGCCCTCAAAGACCCATCTCTTCAAACTGTACTATACCGACTCATTCTCACCCACTCTTACTGATAAACAAGGCTCGATGCTGCTAGATGCTGTCCATGGCTAGGCAGGGGTAGATAGTTCTTGGGTGGGTGAGGTCAAGCTTTTTACCAATTGTTGTTTTTAAATGTATAATGTTCTGTAATTGTAAATTTTTATATGAAGCGCTGTGAGCCTAGCCCTAGGCTTGGGTACTGCTCTATATAAAACCACCTCAATAATAATAATAATATACAATGTTTTAAAATATTGATGGAATGGCTACAGTTTAGTCCATGGGACCATTGTCTGCAGTGACCAAAAACTAAACATAAAATAATTTTAAAAAGGTCCATTACTCTGAATGTTGTTGCTTCCATTCCTAAAACCCTTGTGTAGAAGTCAACAGTTTTATCCAAGTCTCGTACTGTCAAAACTAGATGGTCTAATCTGCTGATCTGGAATGGACGCCCAGAGGCAAAACAGGCAGGTTGGACGTTGAAAGTTGCTGGAGAGGTACATGTTGCCTTGCACTGAATTTGCTGGAAAAAGCAACACAAAAAATATGTTGTACTATTTTAAAATCAAAGCGCTAACTATTGCACAAAATATTCTTTCTATGAAAGTACTTTCCTCAAAAGACATAGATAAAAAAATTTAAAAAGACAACATTTGTGTTGACTTTAACACAAAATCTCAATTTAATGCACTTTTGGATTTCTAAGAGGCACCTGAGATTCACCTGACATTTATAATGCTTTCAAACACAAGAACTTAAGAGTGAGAAAGCACTCTGTGAAGGTGAGACATTAAATAGCCTGAGACACCAGGAGGCAACTGGCAAACACATGGAAATCGAGCCAGCCCAAAGCAAAGTTGTACAACATCCAAGCAAAGAATCTCTGTTTGTTGGATTAACTGGAAACATTTGCTTGTTACAGACTGGCAGGAACAGAATGTCGCAATATATGACTTTAACGTATGCACAGATCATCCTCTGCCTTGCTTTCTGTAGACTATGCAGAGTCTATGTAAATAGGAATTACAGTAGACTCAAGACCTTGTTAGACAGGATATTGGGTCTGTTAAGAGAGTTTTAAACAAAGGGATCTCAACTCATGAAATTTGTCACTTTGCTCTTAAGTAGTTTATACTTACAACAGAGAAGAAAGAAAAAAAAAGTTACTAATGAAATTTAGATAGAAATATCATGGGGCTATCTATCATTAATTTATGTAATAATCATTTGTTCATTCTTAATGATTTATTTCGCATCCCTTTAATAAAAAATTATAAAAACAGTTTATGAAAATTATGTAAAAATATTTGTAAAATGATAAAATGAAATAAGAGTTACTCAAACAATTGCCTTTGAATTTTTAACTAGTATTACCTATCACACACTTCCCAAAGCATATGTGAGGAGTGAAAGGTTGTTTTTTTTTCTATTCAAAGATTCAAAGTTGATTTTGTAGCTTTCCTCTTGCCTTAGAAATAGCCACTGTTTAACAAAGATTGCTTTTCAAACAAATAATAAGTTTATTTAATAAATCTTATTCACCTCAGAGTTAGGGTACATTTTTTTTTCGAAATAGCATGAAATTAGCATTGACAACTTGTGTTTGCCAATGAAGGCTTCCTTTTGATTATCTTGTATTTTCTTTCAACCTGTCACATTTATTTTTCTTACCATGCCACTATACATTAACAGCATGTTTTTAAAATTTATGAATGACATTATTTGATTTTTTTTTTTTCTGGGTTGGTTGACACAAATCCTGAAAGATACAGTCAATAATAATAAATAATAAATGTTCATAAATTTTGTTTTGTTCCATTACTTCAAAGTTTATCCATGTTCAAAGGTCACTAATTTAACACATTTATTACACCTTAAAGACATTTTAAAAGAATTAGTGCTCATCTTTCATACACTAAAATCTCCACAGTTTTCTTTCATTAAGTTAAAATTTGTGAGAAGCCACGCCACTCTAAAATATAATGTTTACATATTTTTCAACAATAAATAAGAATCAAACATTAGCTTGCAAGTACATGTAGATGCAAGAGTTCTAGATCAACCTAAAGCAACATGCAGTTCTTTAACTTATTAAAAATCTTTACTCAAAACAAGTTGCCAACCCCTTATCTAGACAAAAAGAAAACAATCATAAATGAAAGAACTGATTTCTCAGAGAGTCCATAAAGAAATTTCTATTTCCCTTTCTGACACCTTTTTTTCCAAAACCATGTATACAACTGACATAATGCTTCACAAAGATAATAATGCAAATTAAAAAACATATTAGGGAGTGATTCAAATTTTGCCTGGCACTTTATACATTATTATCCTAATAAATGAAGTAAATAATGTTCTCACCCTCAGGATTTGTTTGATTCCAGCTTTAAATTACACTTATTTGTTTACTTTTATTATCAGGGCTGTAGCGTGCTAAGACAGGGAAACAATGAAGCTTAGTAAAACTAACACTGAAATGGATAATTTAACTTACATTATCTTAAAATCTTTTTTAACATGAATTCCCAAATTAATTATAATGGAAATATTTTAATAAAACTTGATTTAAAGACCTTAAATGAGTTAAAATTAAAAGAACATGTGCATAAGTCATTTATTTCAATTTCTGAGTGTTTCCCATTTTTGGGATAGTGAGCATACACAATATATATAACTACGAAAGCTTTCAAATCAATTTGCATGGACACGGCCTTTTTTACACTTCTTAGTTGTCATCACACTGCATTCGATGAATCTAATTTGAGTTGAGTTGGCAACAATAATATGACCTTTGTTGTCATTGTCATAATGTACTGGATTTGGTACTCTTTTGCAGAGCTTCTTTGATTTTTCACAAGGAATAGCTAACTGGCAAACAATAGGAATACCTTTGAAAATATGAAGTGACAAAGTCTCTAGTGAATTAGAAAAGATCCAGTGGCCTTGTTTGATATACTGGTTTCAGTTGGTACAGCTGACATGCACTGCCAACTGATAAAGTGATTGAAAAAAACCAGCAGCTGCCAATATTACTTCTTCATGCGGATGTAGATACAGCATTTTCCAACATTTTCTTCACTTCTGTTGACTACTCCCAAATATATGTTGTAATTCCTATCATTTGATGGCTACTACGCATTGACATGTTGGCACAGTTTCTGTGAAAAGCTCTCTAAGTTCTGACAAATTAATTACATACACATCTTGATGTTTACACTTTTAAGGCTGAGAAAACCTTTTCGTTTTGCCACATCTAGCAGCCTTTTATTGGTTTAGTATGCTTTAACTATCACTAGCTGATCACAAAATATGGGCATCAGCTTTAGCCAATAATTGATTTCTAGAAAAATAGTTGATGCTTTTCAATTCATCTTCATCATCATTATCTCTTTTGGTTTCATCTTCTGGTGCCATGGTATATACAATAGCAGTACTAAATTCTGTTTTATATTCTTCCATATACAATAAAAATATCAATTATGATCAGATTTTTTCACACCCAGATGACAAACAATATAAAACTTTATGTGATAGGCAATGTGGTGTTAATGCCCATTAATGTAATGCACAAATATAGCTAAATTCTTCAAGGTAAAAATTTAACCCCCCGTTTGATGTTCATAAAATGTTGGTAGAACCACATTTAGATAAGTAAAATAAGCACTGAAGCATTACAATATTTCAAGTCATTTGGAAGATATCACTTGCTTTGGTCACTTGAAACAGTGGGGAAAAAAACCCACAATAATTGAACAGCCAGACATGTTGCTACACCGAGGAGGGCATTTTTTACTAAGTGGTGCCATACAAAGCACATAACATTAAATGACTGTTTAACAAATTGCCATTAATATTGATTAATCAAACAACTAATTTCATTCAAATACAAGCGATAATTTATCTTTGAATATCTCTCAAGCATACAAACAAAATATTTTGCAGCACAAATAAATCATTTTTAACAAACAACCATTGAACACTACTCATAAATGTTTTCATTTCATTCACATCAAAATCACACTTGGTGAGACCAATTCAACAGAAAAAGGCATGTTGCCTAAGCACATCAATTAATTGGGTTTCCATACCAACTTGTCTCAAATAATATGTAAGTCATTTTTTTTTCAAGTTCACAATACAGCATCAATAACTTTGATTTCAACAAATTCAAAGAAAATAAATCTTTGAAATAAATCAATTCAAGAAAAAACTGATCCCTAAGTAAAAGACTCTCCCTAAGTAAAAGACTCTTGGTAAAAATTTACAGGTGTGTGACATCATAAAAGTACTTGTAGATGGTGGGCCCCATAAAGCTATCCTACTCCAAGTTTTATAAGCAAATCAGTGAAATATGCCAAACCAACCTACGCCTACTGAAATAGCAGCTTGAAATTGCTTTTTTTTTTAAATATTAACATTCTCAGTAGACCTTATTAAGGGGTAGTCCACAAAAGATTTCACACTATTTTGAACTCCCCTCCCACATCATCACAAATTTTGTCACATAGTTTAGACTCTATGTGTTAATAATTATACATCGTCCCAAATGCATCCCCCCCCCCCACCCAAGGTGCTTCATGTCAATTATGGATGTCCCCTAAATTAGGATCTACTATAATAAATTCTAAGTTTATAGATATGATTACATTTTACATGATAAAGGTCATAAAAAGCATATTTTATTTACTAGTAAATAATAAATTAAATAATTTTAAAAAATTGGTCAAGTAGCCAAGTTGAAGTAGAATATTCTCAAAATAAAATACTGAATAAAATAGAAATAATTGGACTTGGTTGGAGTCTGTATGTAACTTACATTGTAACTGTACATTAAAGTATCATGTCATGTGTTGTTTTTTTTGTTTTGCCATGAATGACATTCAATGATGAATATGATTAATATGAATGAAAATTGGGCTACATATTTTATTTAATTTAAAACTAGCCTAACTCTAGCTCTAAAAGTATGCTAGCTCTAGCCCTAAACTAGGTCTATTTAATAATTAAAAATTAATTTTATAATTATATTAAAATATGTAGAAAATTAATAGTAATAACTATTAGTAATAGCCTTTGCCATTGGCCATTGATTTATTATTTCCCTGCCTAATACTAATATTAAATATCTAATATTTACTAATAATACTTAATACTAACTTACCAAGAAATGTCGCCGAAAGGCAATAGAGAAAGCACTTTTTATCATTATAAATAAACAAAAGACGAAAAGTGCCCTCAAACCCGGAAATATCAGTTGTGTCCGCTCTTAAGCCTTTGCGATCTGAACTGTTTGCAGTTTGTTAATATTGTTTTTGTTTGACTTAAGGTATTTTCTGTTTATTTCCCCTTCCTAAAATTTTCGGGGATTTCCAATTTCTCCCACTTAAAAGTTAGCAAGCAATTTGTAAACTGTAGCTCTACAAATCTATTTTCGCTTGTTTACATGTTAAATGTACTTTGTATAATTTGAATATGCCATTAAATAATCTATAAATATATTTATATTTTAATACATTTATTTGTCGATAGGCTTTATTTTAAAATATTATATAATCCTTTCAATTAAAATTCCTTTAAATTTGTTTGGTATCTTAATTTTGCCGAAATAATCTTGTCAATTTTTTAAATATTACAAGAAGTACACATCAACGAATACTGTAATAGCTGTAATTGAAAAGCCTGTACTAATCGAAGATTTTGTTTACTTGCCACAGTTACAGTGGTACAGTCACAGTGCAAAACCAAAATCAAATTAAGGCCTATCTGAAATTGATTAAAACTAGGAGACTCGGATCTTCACACCTATGTATAGAGTGTTCAAAAAATACTTAAAGTTTCTATTACGATAGTATTACAATCCAAAATTTTGGTCCTTAGATCAGCAAACCTAAAAGAAGAAAAAGCCAACACTGAACCAAGGAAAAACTGAAAGAAACAAAATTAGGAAATTATGATCTCAGATTTAATTTTATTCGGGTAAGAATAGTAGGTAAATTTGGAGAGATAACACCGTGGCCGCCATCTTGGTTGCCGCGACCCCGCGAACTTATGTCCTAAATGTATTCCTTAACCTAACCTGAACCCTAAATCAATCCCTAAACCTAACCTGGCCCCAAACTTACCCCTAACCTGGGTTTCGACCCTATCGGAACCAGGGTTTTGACCCTATCGGAACCAGGGTTTTGACCCTATCGGAACCAGGTACTAAACATGCAAATGACGTCAGGGTGCTATCTCTCCAAATTAGCCATTGTATCTTTACTGTTACGTACAAAATCTGTTTAAGGCAATAATGCTAAGTTATTTGCTTCTATAGACTATATGCCTACTGTTTTAAGTGATTAAGTACTCAATTGTGCCATTGAGAATGGTATGCAGTTTACGCAGTGCTCTTGACTAGGTACTTTGGTAAACAAATATTTTTTTGTTAAAATTTAAAATAACGAAGTGGCTGCGTGCAACGCGGTGGTGTACCTAGCAAAATCATAGACCTACGCATGCGTACACCGTGGCAAAATTGTACCATTGGTTTGGTTTTAAGATATGCCTGTTAGATAAGATCTTGTGTGGTCTTGTGGTAGACTAGACGCTAGGCATTATTATATTTTGTGATGAAATCCCAGAAGAGGATCACATTTTATATATTTTTTCCATTTTAATTAAAAGTATTTTTTATTTTTAAATTATTATGTTCATTTGCAACAGTCAACAGTAGTTTCATGAGAATTTTAAAAATATTTTGTAGCAATTTAAACATTTTAAATTTATGTTATATTTTGATTATTAAGTGTTTAAGTTTAAACTTCAACAAGTTTTGCGGGCCTTTGACTTTGAAAATACTGGTAATAAGACCTTAGAAAACAAACTGAAAGTGCATGTATAGTGAATGTAACATGCATAATAACCACAGAGCCATTTTCAATACTAAGCAATATTTTATTATATATTTCAACATTCTTCATGAAGTTGAATATTTACATTTTACTTTTACATGTAAAATGTAAATGTAGCCATGATGTATACTACAGATTTTCACAAATCTATTACCGTATGAATGAATATCCAAAGAAAATACCAGTATATCAATGAATATTAATGTGCATGGTCGTCATTTCAACCATCTTTCATTCACTATTCATTGGCAAAATTTAAACATAATATCCACGGTTCATTCACAGTCCTCAGTCTCACAGCAAATCTTTTGAAAACACCATGATTTTGGAATCTTACGGCGCGGTAGCAAACTGCATAGCAAAGCCATAGGTCTGTGTTTACCCTGTTCATGACGAAATTTGTTTCCAGAATGGTATGGCATGTGCTATTCTCAGGGTAAAACACAACATTGTCTCACGGAAACCATTGCACAATGCGCATGGGACAGGATTTGCGCTATTTCAAAATTTTTGTTGTTGTGTTTTTGTTTTATGGGCAGAGGCTCAACAGGGGGCACAAAACCAAAAAGAGGGTCTACATAAATCACGACTCTGGATAGTGGTTGTCCACAAAGGATGTCTGCACAAGAATCTTACCTTTTGCTGATGTCCACCATCATTTTTTTTTACTAATTTGTAATGCCAAGAAATGAAACTATTATCAAGAGCACAGAGTCATTACATTTAAATTTCTAAAATCAGTATAATACAAAGGTCCATCCATTTATTAATTATGCACTATGTGGGGAGGAGGAGGCTGTTGATTTTGGATGTTTTGCATACTGCTGCATATAGCGTTTGGGGGAAGGGATGTGGGTTCGGCAGAAAGAACGTACATTTAATAATTATCCTGAATTTGTGACACTCTAATACATCTAATAAAGCCAACGTTAACCTAAAATCTGTGATATTTAATTATTGTTAAAAGACTTTACAAAATCACTGCAGTGTTTCGAATTTATCATCATACTATTGACAATTGCTTGATATCACAATTACAATGCCTCGGGCAAATTTAACTTCAAGATCAATGTACGTGATTCTCTGCCGGTGACGTATTTTGGCGTAATTATATCTTGGAGTAAATAAAGTAGATACACTGGCTTCCCATTCATTTTTACACCACGCCCCGAGGGATCACATACAATGTTATAATTATAATGCCCCCCCCCCTCTCCAAAGACAAAGAACTGTTATGAATAAGTTATCACTATCTTTTTCGAAAATTAAAGACTCAGATTTTTCTATGTGGACTCATATTAACTATACAAATATAATAGTAATCTCCCTTGCTTGACCAAAGGGCCTACAGGGTCACCAACTAATGACATAGATTCTTTAATATAGTAATTAAATTTACTGTCACCAGGTGCCTTCTGAGGCAATTCTTAGATGCCAGATTTTAAGAATTTATTTTTTAAAAATCATTTTTAAAAAAAATTAGATTGGTAATGATTTTAACTCTCTGTTGCCATTAGCCCTACTGTTGCCTCCCTAATACCTAATAGTGCCTGACTACTATGCTGGGCAGTGGCATGTCAGTTGGATAGTCACATATGATGCTCGTTCAGGATGCAGAGCAACTAAACTACAATACATTTGTCTGCTAACCAATTCAACATTGTAGGCCTAAAAGACAACTTCTGAGATTTCCCTGTTGAACTTCAATAATTTTTTTATATTTTCCTTATTTTATGGACATTAAAAATTTTTAATGGACATCTATGAATACAAACAATGCATTTTGGGTCAAATTTTTACGGACTGTCAGTATTTAATCTAAAGACGATTAGCAACCCTGTTGGTAAGTTAGTGGGTGGTGCAATGTTTATAAAATATGGACTTATTTAAGTCTCTTAATAATAAATTGAAAAATGTGTTTACTATACATCAATTTTAAAATGGTAACTGACTGGCTGTATTTTAGAGTGTATGACCATTGACACAAGACTTGAAATACTTCTTGGCAGAAGTTCACAAAAGACAAATGCTGGCACCTATAATGGGATTCACCTCAAATGGTGGCTTATCTAACAGAAGGAAAACTGCCACTACTAACCTCTGCTAACGTGAGGAATCTAACCCCATAGTGAAATTCAACTGGGAAGAAGAGCCAAACAGAAAATATGACCATGCAGACAACAAAAATCCGTAGATGGAGAATGAGTATGACATTGCACAAAAGAATTTAGAAGCTTTAGAGTCTTCTTAAACATTTCTTGCCCTACTTGGCCATTAATAGTGGACCATGAGCAAAACCCAAATACAATGTTGTTAAAAAATGTTTAAAAAACATCTTCAACAATCAAGGAGATTGAATTATTTTTAAATACCACAAAAGCAAGAGAGTTATATCACTGCTCAAATGGAGTAAAAGGATGTAACGATGGAAATAAACTATACAACCAGTATACATTTTTTTGTTATATAGTTATAAAACTTAAAATAAATAATGATTTTTCTATTACTATTAATAAATAGTAATGTTAAATTTTTGATCTAGTATTTTTAGAATGAGATTGGAACAAAATAAGACTTGCTTATATGACTTTATTAAAACATAAAAAAGTATTAAACTATCAAAATTCGTACATTGGAAAATATAATTCAATTAATAAAATAGTAATAGTAATAACCTCATTGAAAACAATAAGTAAGCAGATAACGGTAGTTATAGTATTTAGAAAAAAAAATTAAATGTATCTTTATCTGTAAATCTGGAGACAGTGGTAAATGTATCATTATCTTGATGTGTTGAAACAATAGTTTGCAAAATTTGTATGGTCTTGAACTTTTACGCACATAAATTCCATAACTATCACCATGTAATTAATAAGGCCTCATGTCCACTATGTTGCATACATCTGCTCTAAGGGGCTATTACTATTTGTTCATACCTCAGCCATGTTGTGTTTGAGAAAGCAATGCTTTTATGCAAACTATATGAGATGTCTTCTGTGACCTGAATTTAAGGGGTTAGAAGATATGGCACAGGCTGTCATTTATTGTGTGATATAGTCCATAGTACTTTATCACAGCTGAGTTTTATTTGCAGACCACAGACATAAATATTTTTTTTTATGTTTGAATGCTGCTAGTGTAAGGGATTCAATTACTACTTATCATTAGTGAAGAACACAGTATTGAAAAAACGTTTAAAATAAATTATTGACCAAGAAAATAATTATGTGCCAATTTAAGACCTAAAGTCTTAATAAATGATTGAACTACACAAGTTAAGCCTTACTTTGATGAAATTCTCATTGCCTTTTTTTAAAAATATTATGTTATTCTCTTCTTGGTCTACCTGCTGGCAGTGTTTCTGTTATCCATACTTCTGTATCTATCAATCACCATTTCTGTTTACTAAAATCTTGTTAGCTTGTTCCAATATCTTAATTACCCGTAATTTAATTTTTTCAAATTTATTTTTACCATTGAATACCTGATTGTTTGAACTCATAAGATCTATTAACTTACAACTAATGAACTGTAACAGTAAAAAAAAAAAAAAGAAAGAAATAATAGTACAGGTATTAATAATAATTTCAAACTAAATCACAGTATCATATTTTGAAATCTTAATGTAGTAGGTGAAAAATATTTTTTTCATTTTCATAGTTTTTTATTATAAGTATACAGATTGGTGTTGAATACATTGCTCACAAAAAAATTAAGTACTGGGTATACATTATATTAATTTAAATAGCAGTTAATTAAGTTAAGAGAATATCGACTTTGATATTTATATGTATTATTTGGTTGCATCTTTTTAGTACCCTCCTTGTGAATGCAGGAGCTGTACTGAATTTTAAACTGTGAGTACAAAGTATGCAATAAAACAGATTTTATTATATGCATTGATGTTATTATTTTCTAGTTTCATTAAAATGAAAAGACACATATTTCGACTGAGATTTTAAAAAAATTAATAAATAATGTATTCACTACATTATTTCATTCAATTATTCTTAAATGCTTGCGTTTTCTTCTTCCTACTATAATTTAGAGTCATTTAAATTGTGTATTAAATCTATAGTTTTTTAAACCAAATTTAATAACCAATGACGTGCCATTTCAGAAAGCGTTCACGAGATGAAGAGGCATTCATGCCCAAATTGGAAAGCACAACAGGTCAATTTGTTTGTATTTTTAAAAAACTTTATCACAAGAAATCCAAACAATGGATCACAATCAAATTTGACATGGACATTCCTCCTGAACTATACATGGTTCCTGGAAAAATTGATCCGAATCCCTTTAACCCAAAACCAATAATTAAACAATAGTTAAATGTATTGAGTAAAGAATAAATAAAAAATTTTTAATGGTTTCGGGGAACATTCAAGTTAAGTTGTTTTTGATGTATACATTTATAATAAGCCTTTATTCAGAACGGTGTGTTTTCAAACATCTATTAAAGGAAGGTTTTCGATGAGCTTTGGTGAAAAGTGCAAGCATTTTAAATAAATCTTAAGCTTTATTCTCTTTTTGCAGAACAGTATGCTTTCAGAAATATTTGAATTAATTTTTTCAACAAAAAAATAATAAATATTAGCTTTTTTTATTAGTCATATTCTTAAATTATACGGGAAAGCGTTTTGTGCCATTTTAATGAAATACAGATTGAAATGCATGGTATTGCACGGTACCATCATTGAGGGTTCTTTTAATAATTTTTATTACCAACTTTATAATACAGATGTGTGTTATAAAATTATAAGGGAGAATCCCAAGTTTTTGATTTAGCTCCAAATCAGCATTTAGTACAACTATGTCTCTGAATGGGTGGGGGCATGCAATGTATGATAGGCACAATTTTTTACCTATGGAACAATTTCAGTCCATAGTAGATTGCCATAATTAAAATAAATTGTTCACATGTACCATAAGCTTCTTGAATGCCATCATAATAAGTTTGTGTCTAAATTTGTTTCTGGCATCAGGAAATAACATGGTGGTGTTACAGTTAAAAACAGTACCAACACTGAACAATGAAAAATCATAAAACGTCATACAAGTATTCATCATTATGTGAATGATGATTTTTAATTAGATTCTTTTACTTAGCTTACTATACAAGTTTCTATGTAAATTTTTGCATCTAGGTCAACTCGGTAAACATACATTTCATAATCCCTATTAAAATATCATTGCATTTCAAACTAATAAATGTCCACATCTTTTTGTGCAGGGGTCCCAATTCTAGTTTGAATGAAATGCTTTATCTTTGGCATCTTTTATGCAATTAAAGTGGGACATTTTTTAAAATAAGTTTGTTTGTTATCCAACCTAAAATACTTGACATATTTTAAATGTTAGATTTGGTTTTAAATCGTGGTTTTTGGCTGAGTCCAGCTTGAATATACTAATGAAATGGGATGGGGCCCAAATTCAATGTTTATAAGAATTAATATAAATCAGGCTTTTTATAAGGAGAACATTTTTAATTTTAATTGGTACTTCAGCTCAGTTTTTTATACAAGGCCTTTAATTTAGGCTTTAGAATTTGTTTTTTTTCCAAATACAAACCCGGACAAAGACCGATTTATTGGCTAGTAGTTTATAAAGATAAAAGATTTTAATGGAATTTAAACAGGTAATCTTAAGTGATAATAAAAAATACAGTGGTTAGTAACTACTTTTTGCTTTTTTAAGTCTATAAAGATATTATTAATGAAACATGGAGAATTACACTTTTAGTTCTTACAAGTTTTATAATTTAGTACAGTACATGGACAGAATTATGACAATTTAATTTTTTTTTTTTTTAAATTCTACCATTAACTTCCATTTTCTCTTTTGTCACAGGAGATAAAATCAGAGAATTTTTGCTGAGTCTGAGACACCTGAGGATCTTTATTGCACTTTGGAATATCTTTATCATGTTTCTTATGTTGGTGTAAGTATCTCAGAGCTTCTGATAAAATTATATATTTTGATTTGATGTTATTTGAAATGTCTTTACAAATTCATACATCATTTTCTGTGGTGTAGTCAGGTTATTGTATGGTAATAAATGACGGCATGGAGTAAAAACAAATCCTGCCCTGCCAAACAATGCCCTGCCAAACTATCCCCTGCCAAACAATCCTCTGCCAAACAATCCTCTGCCTAACAATCCCCTGCCAAACAATCCCCTGCCAAACAATGCCCTGCCAAACAATTCCCTGCCAAACAATGCCCTGCCAAACAATCCCCTGCCAAACAATGCCCTGCCAAACAATCCCCTGCCAAACAATCCCCTGCCAAATAATGCCCTGCGAAATAATGCCCTGCCAAACAATCCCTTGCCAAATAATCCCCTGCCAAACAATGCCCTGCCAAACAATGCCCTGCCAAACAATCCCCTGCCAAACAATGCCCTGCCAAACAATCCCCTACCAAACAATGCCCTGCCAAACAATGCCCTGCCAAACAATCTCCTGCCAAACAATGCCCTGCCAAACAATCCCCTGCCAAACAATACCCTGCCAAACAATCCCCTGCCAAACAATCCCCTGCCAAACAATCCCCTGCCAAACAATCCCCTGCCAAACAATCCCCTGCCAAACAATACCCTGCCAAACAATGCCCTGCCAAACAATGCCCTGCCAAACAATCCCCTACCAAACAATACCCTGCCAAACAATCCCCTGCCAAACAATCCCCTGCCAAACAATCCCCTGCCAAACAATGCCCTGCCAAACAATCCCCTGCCAAACAATCCCCTGCCAAACAATGCCCTGCCAAACAATGCCCTGCCAAACAATGCCCTGCCAAACAATGCCCTGCCAAACGATCCCCTCCCAAACAACCCCCTCCCAAACAATGCCCTACCAAACAATGCCCTGCCAAACAATGCCCTGCCAAACAATCCCCAGCCAAACAATCCCCTGCCAAACAATCCCCTGCCAAACAATGCCCTGCCAAACAATCCCCTGCCAAACAATGCCCTGCCAAACAATCCCCTGCCAAACAATCCCCTGCCAAACAATCCCCTGCCAAACAATCCCCTGCCAAACAATCCCCTGCCAAACAATCCCCTGCCAAACAATCCCCTGCCAAACAATGCCCTGCCAAACAATGCCCTGCCAAACAATGCCCCGCCAAACAATGCCCCGCCAAACAATGCCCTGCCAAACAACCCCCTCCCAAACAATCCCCTGCCAAACAACCCCCTGCCAAACAATGCCCTGTCAAACAATGCCCTGCCAAACAATCCCCTGCCAAACAATGCCCTGCCAAACAATGCCCTGCCAAACAATGCCCTGCCAAACAATGCCCTGCCAAACAACCCCCTGCCAAACAATGCCCCGCCAAACAATGCCCCGCCAAACAATGCCCTGCCAAACAATGCCCTGCCAAACAACCCCCTCCCAAACAATCCCCTGCCAAACAATCCCTTGACAAACAATCCCCTGCCAAATAATGCCCTGCCAAATATGTTTCTGAAATAATTCAACACCAGAGAGCCATATACCCCAACCCAAAACCCTCTCCCTCTGGATTCTATCATGTCATTCTATTATGGTTCACTCTTTGTACTTCATATATTCATTTAATTCTATATTCCTCAGATTTTTCAGCCATTGATAGTGATGTGTTTTGAACACCAATCAGAACTAAAGCCTTTTACTGTCTTTAAGAAAGAGCTGACCATGTAAATTATAGCTATCTTTGTCAATCACAAAATTGTCTGGAGATGAGCTGCAGTGATCTATCTTGTTTTTGGTCATCTTAAAATACATTGAAATTGATTGCACTGAAGTCGATCTATGCAGTGAAGTTTGTATATATTTATTTGTAAATAAAATGATTAACATTGGGGCAAGACTGATGGGCTTTATAAATAAACATTTTGTTTTTTGTGATTATTAAGAGGATATGGCTAGTAACCAGTACCGTAGTGACTGTGGTCTTGTGCGTCAATCTCTGCCAACTATAAAAAATCTACCAGGAAGCTTCATACCATTCAGAAATGATATTAAGTATTGCAGTGATGGGGTTATATTGTGAGGTCTACACCTGGAAGCTCAATTTAACTTTTAAAAACATATTGGCTGTGCTCAACAAAAAATCATGGTCAAACAACGTAAGTGCATAGGAAACCATAAGAAATCTTGGCTGAGCCATTAAAGATGGGCGGTAATTCACTAAAATGTTAGTACCTTTAATTAAGCTTTGAGGTGGCTCGCATTATCTCCCCTCAACAATTAACTCCCCAATTTTAGTTGTAGATGTCTTAAAATCACTTTGATAAAAAAAGCCATATTTTTGTTACAATAATGTTTGTTAATATTGGCCCATGTTATAAATTCAAGTTCCTACTTTCTCTCATATCAAATAAATACATCACCTAAATACAAAGTAACCACCAAAAAAAAAAAAGAAACAGGTTTTAAAAAAAGTTTTTTTGATCAGAATAACTCAATGTTTAGAAATATGATTTACACATCTATGTGATCTACACATCTATGTGATGTACTCATTTATGTGATGTACACATTTATGTGATGTACACATTTATGTGATGTACACATTTATGTGATTACACATTTATGTGATTTACACATTTATGTGATGTAACACATTTGTTTTCTTAGAATGTCATCTGTAACATTTACTGGATTCGATTTTAACGATTGATATAAAATTTAAAGAAAGCAATTGTTGACATCTATCCATCACCCAGTACACCATTGCAATGTTATGATTAACTTTGTATTTATAATTTGTAAGGAATCCTAGTAATTCATCACATTGTAAATGTAATGAAAATCTGGGACTTGATTTGGGTGATGAAAAATTTTCCTTATAGTCCTTGATTGTTTGGAGCAAATAACTATCAGAAAACCAGCATAATTCTTAGTGCATGTTTTACTTAGCATTGAAAGGTTACAAAAGATTTAAAATCTAAATTTAAGACGATGGAGATTTTTTTTTTTTTTTAAACAAAATATTTCTTAATGCTTTATTATACTTGCTTTATTAAAATATTCATCGTTTTTTTAATACCTTCGGACCAAATGAGTTTAAAATAAAATTTTTGTATGACCGCTGTACATTTCTGGGTTAAAGTTGCTGCTTCTGTTCTATTGTGTATGACATTTGCATCCATAGTCTTGATGACATGTTGAAATAAATTATTCAATGTACACACAGTTGAATGTCTCCTAGCTTTATTTGTCCACATGACAGCTGGAGTTTTTAAATCCTTTTACTTGGCTTTTGTTTTTGATTGGCTGACAAAATCTTTGGACGGCTAATTGACCCACTTCCTATCAACCTATTGAGCTGAAACTTGGCACATAGACTCCTTGCTGATGACAATACGTTTTATCAAATTTTCGTCCCCAACCCCCAAGAATCATGTTTCCCCGTTTTTCAAGGGGAAGATGAAGGAAATATGATGACACTGATTTCACGAAATAAAATTCCCCGATAACTGCTCTAAATGAGATTCTTTTAAAAAAAAAGTATTGCAAGTTCATTTGGTGCGTAATATTTTCTTTAGTTTATCTGAAATTACCCCCAAGTTGATGGCATTCATCCTCCTATTACATGTTAACTCATTATAGAAGGGCTTTATAAATAGACCAGTAAGTTGACATTATGGGCCATTAAACATGATAAGGTTCCATGTCTTTCAGGTCTGGTCTGTGGTCAATGCCCCCAAATCCCGGAGGTTTTCTCCTCCTACTGACCCACTGAACATGCCCCACTTTCGTACGCTACGGTGTAATATTACTCGTGTAGCGTTGGGCCTCTAGAGATTTGGAATAAGACAAAGAGAGACAACATTTATTTAATAAAACCACAACTGTTTTCCTATAATATACTAATAACGATCAATACTTGGAGGTCGAGATTCCATCTCTTAGGACCTCTGGCCGTGAAACATAGCCTAGTAGTCCCTGGGGACTCCGGCCATGCAACTCGGCCTTGGATAACGGGGTTTTGAGCAGGTTGCTTCCACTCATGAGGGAACAGTTTTGCGTCACAGCCCCCCTTGCCCATTGACTCTTGCGGTCGGGACGTAGGGTTGGAACAGCTTTGCTTCCTCTCCGGAGATGACGTTGCGTTGCCACCCCCAACGCCCAGGGAGCCGTACGTTCCTTGGTGTGGCACGGCTTTGCCTCCAATCCGGGAGTAGTCACTAGCTTAACTTTCTCCCACCGTTCCTGTGAGTTGTGTGGACATGGGTCAAAACGGCTTTACTTCTTGCTTGTATCTGGCGCATTTTACAGTATCAGTAGAGTCAAATGTTGACCTTACGACCATTACTCCAAGCTTTAAACACTCGTGAGGAGAATTTGAATTTTCTTTAATGTAAAGAATTACTGTTGTTGTGATCGTTTGCTAGCAATCTCTTTATTGAATAGTCACGAATGTTTTAACAGTTGCGTAACTCTACTTTTTTTTTTTTATACTGGGTATTTCAATATTCCTCGTGAGCTCTAGGATTCAATTTCATGCAGAAATGCCAGATTTGATCAAGGTCCAGGGGAGAAAAAAATAAGGGGGGAGGGGGGGTGGGTGTAGACGTCCATGAATGTACCGGTGTTTGTAAAGTGCTCTGACAAACCTAAATGGTAAAACTGATGTTAAAGCCCATGTAGGAGCAATGTCAGGTGAAAACCTAATTGGTAAACCTGATGTTAAAGCCGATGTAGGAGCAATGTCTGGTGAAAACCTAATTGGTAAACCTGATGTTAAAGTCGATGTAGGAGCAATGTCAGGTGAAAATCTAATTGGTAAACCTGATGTTAAAGTCGATGTAGGAGCAATGTCAGGCGAAAACCTAATTGGTAAACCTGATGTTGAAGCCGATGTAGGCGCAATGTCAGGTGAAAACCTAATCGGTAAACCTGATGTTGAAGCCGATGTAGGAGCAATGTCAGGTGAAAATCTAATTGGTAAACCTGATGTTAAAGTCGATGTAGGAGCAATGTCAGGTGAAAACCTAATTGGTAAACCTGATGTTGAAGCCGATGTAGGAGCAATGTCAGTTGAAAAGCTAATCGGTAAACCTGATGTTGAAGCCGATGTAGGAGCAATGTCAGTTGAAAACCTAATTGGTAAACCTGATGTTGAAGCCGATGTAGGAGCAATGTCAGGTGAAAAGCTAATTGGTAAACCTGATGTTAAAGCCGATGTAGGAGCAATGTCAGTTGAAAACCTAATTGGTAAACCTGATGTTGAAGCCGATGTAGGAGCAATGTCAGGTGAAAACCTAATTGGTAAACCTGATGTTAAAGCCGATGTAGGAGCAATGTCAGGCGAAAACCTAATTATAAACCTGATGTTGAAGCCGATGTAGGAGCAATATCAGGTGAAAACCTAATTGGTAAACCTGATGTTGAAGCCGATGTAGGAGCAATTTCAGGCGAAAACCTAATTGGTAAACCTGATGTTGAAGCCGATGTAGGAGCAATGTCAGTTGAAAACCTAATTGGTAAACCTGATGTTGAAGCCGATGTAGGAGCAATATCAGTTGAAAAGCTAATTGGTAAACATGTTGTTAAAGCCTATGTAAGGAGCATTGTCTGTTGACAGGAGCAATGTCTGTTGACAGGAGCGATGTCTGTTGACAGGAATAATGTCTGTTGACAAGAGCGATTTCTGTTGACAGGAGCAATGTCTGTTGACAGGGGCAATGTCTGTTGACAGGAGCGATGTCTGTTGACAGGAGCAATGTCTGTTGACAGGAGCGATGTCTGTTGACAGGAGCGATAGTAAAAGTCGATGTTGATGGAAACAGCGCTCTCATTAAGAATGTTTGGCCATCACATAAACCGGTAAATATTTTTTTTAAGAGAAAAAAGTTTCTATTCGTTTCTGTTTACAGCCCATTTAGTTACATTCTATTTATTGTTGTTTATGCGTTGTGCGTCTTACAAGCTGCTCTTGTTTTGACATCAACGATTTGGCTCCGGGGTTTGAGAGCCCTGTGCTACTGAGAGTAGATCTACTCGATTAGTGTTTAAGATTCCTGTGCTACTGAGAGTAGATCTACTCGATTAGGGTTTAAGATTCCTGTGCTACTGGGAGTAGATGTCCTCGATTAGGGTTTAAGATTCCTGTGCTACTGAGAGTAGATCTGCTCGATTAGGGTTTAAGATCCCCGTGCTACTGGGAGTAGATGTACTCGATTAGGGTTTAAGATTCCTGTGCTACTGGGAGTAGATGTACTCGATTAGGTTTTAAGATTCCTGTGCTACTGAGAGTAGATGTACTCCATTATGGTTTAAGATTCCTGTGCTACTGGGAGTAGATGTACTCGATTAGGGTTTAATATTCCTGTGCTACTGGGAGTAGATGTACTCGATTAGGGTTTAAGATTCCTGTGCTACTGGGAGTAGATGTACTCGATTAGGGTTTAAGATTCCTGTGCTACTGGGAGTAGATGTACTCGATTAGGGTTTAAGATTCCTGTGCTACTGGGAGTAGATGTACTAGATTAGGGTTTACGATTACTGTGCTACTGAGAGTAGATGTACTCGATTAGGGTTTAAGATTCCTGTGCTACTGAGAGTAGATGTCCTCGATTAGGGTTTAAGATTCCTGTGCTACTGAGAGTAGATGTACTCGATTAGGGTTTAAGATTCCTGTGCTACTGAGAGTAGATGTACTCGATTAGGGTTTAAGATTCCTGTGCTACTGGCAGTAGATGTCCTCGATTAGGGTTTAAGATTCCTGTGCTACTGAGAGTAGATCTGCTCGATTAGGGTTTAAGATCCCCGTGCTACTGGGAGTAGATGTACTCGATTAGGGTTTAAGATTCCTGTGCTACTGGGAGTAGATGTACTCGATTAGGTTTTAAGATTCCTGTGCTACTGAGAGTAGATGTACTCCATTATGGTTTAAGATTCCTGTGCTACTGGGAGTAGATTTACTCGATTAGGGTTTAAGATTCCTGTGCTACTGGGAGTAGATGTACTCGATTAGGGTTTAAGATTCCTGTGCTACTGGGAGTAGATGCACTCGATTAGGGTTTAAGATTCCTGTGCTACTGGGAGTAGATGTACTCGATTAGGGTTTAAGATTCCTGTGCTACTGGGAGTAGATGTACTCGATTAGGGTTTAAGATTCCTGTGCTACTGGGAGTAGATGTACTCGATTAGGGTTTAAGATTCCTGTGCTACTGAGAGTAGATGTCCTCGATTAGGGTTTAAGATTCCTGTGCTACTGAGAGTAGATGTACTCGATTAGGGTTTAAGATTCCTGTGCTACTGGGAGTAGATGTACTCGATTAGGGTTTAAGATTCCTGTGCTACTGGCAGTAGATGTCCTCGATTAGGGTTTAAGATTCCTGTGCTACTGAGAGTAGATGTACTCGATTAGGGTTTAAGATTCCTGTGCTACTGAGAGTAGATGTACTCGATTAGGTTTTAAGATTCCTGTGCTACTGAGAGTAGATGTACTCGATTAGGGTTTAAGATTCCTGTGCTACTGAGAGTAGATGTACTCGATTAGGGTTTAAGATTCCTGTGCTACTGGGAGTAGATGTACTCGATTAGGGTTTAAGATTCCTGTGCTACTGAGAGTAGATGCACTCGATTAGGGTTTAAGATTCCTGTGCTACTGGGAGTAGATCTACTCGACCATGGTTAAAGATCCCTGTGCTACTGAGAGTAGATGTACTCGATTAGCGTTTAAGACCCCTGTGCTACTGGGAGTAGATCTACTCGACCATGGTTTAAGATCCCTGTACTACTGGGAGTAGATCTACCCGACAACTTACTTACGACACAAATGTTGGATATCCCTTTAGTGGATACCATTATGTGATCAGGCGATCCCCATGGCCTTCATAATAATGTCATTATTTGTCATGCATCTGTATCGTTAAGCCGATTTGACCAACGCAATTAAAAAAAAAGTATGATCCTTGTTATCTGATTAATTGAGTTACCCTGACGCTCCTAGCCCGAAGCCATGGATTTTTCAGTCAACCATTTGCCAACAATCAACTCACACAAGAACCAGCACAGAGCAGAAATTTTGAAGTTTTATGCCACACGGCGTAGCACTAGATCACCAACGTCTCCGAATTTGATATGGAGCTTGATGAAATATTCAGTGTTGTCTCGTTTGGCGAGTCTGCAGATGGCACCCAGTAGATTAGGTCGTTCGAGAGTCTAATGCCACGTTGACCGACGTC